CACATACATTTACTAACCATAGACCCTCCCGCACTGAGTCAAACCCCTCAAACGGCTGCCTCACACACAAAAGCTTGAGGTCAAGTTCACTTGCTGATGAACTACCTCAAGCTAGTAGACATGACAGTCACAAAACAGCAGCTGTGATGCCTGTGACATTGAGTCATTACCAAGCGCAAGTCTCTAACCTGTAATTTCACCCGCTAAATGTAATGTGCCTTCTTCCATTAACTAAAAAATGTTAGATTAAATATGATTTGTGTGAAAGTCAGAGGCTCTGGAATGATGTCATTTCAAGAGCTCACAAAGCTGTCAGTGTCCATCCTGATGCCCAAAAACATAGTCAAATAAGTATGCAAATGCAAATTCAAATGCTAGCAAGAGTGTGGTTTTGTTGTACACGCATTGCATGTGTTCTTCCGTTACTGTAGAGGTAACAAACTCCAATTCTCAAGCAGGCAATAGAAGTACCTTTAAATGTCTGTGCCATTCAATTTTTATGATTCAAGTAACTATAAATATGTCAACTAGCAAGATTCAAGTATCTGACCACAAAAACCTTGTGAAATGGTTTGATGAGCAGTTTTTGTATTGGCATATTTCCTTTTGAAGTAAGAAGTTAATGAGGGAAGTATCTAAGAGTTTGCCCCTTTCTTTAAAACAGCTTTGGTAAGCCCAAAGTATACGTCGGTTTTTAAGCATATGGCGTATTACATGTGATGTATGTTTAATCATCATGTCGCAATGATGAGCTCTTGTGAGAGAAGGTTAACACATACTCTCAACTCTAGTTTAAATGAGTACAACAGCTTTTTTATTGCTCATAACTTCTGGGGAGAAATAGCACAGACACTGGATGAGGACTACATTTTTTAGTGTGCTTGTGTCGAGCACATGAGTTAGTGATATACAATCGAAGTATACTTTGAAAAGTTGTGTTCGACCGTATACATTCGTGTTAAAACAAAAGAAGTCAACTTTGGGCTTTCATTTTCATTACAACACAGAACGATGACTTGCTACGTGTTATTACTAGTCAGAGTTAGGTGGTATCGGGAGAGGGACATTCTCATTCTAGACAGCATTTGATTGGACATTGAAAAATTTAAATACACCTTTGAGTGCAAGATGAGTCATCAATATGTATTTGTTTTCCCAGAAATATGTACCTTTTAAATGCATTTATAGCTAAAAGTGAATTTAGAACTACGGGAGCATATAGATAGCCTTAAAGCTAATGCTACAAATCTAAAGCTGCGTCCCAAATGATGCACTATACTGTGCACTCATACACAATGTACTTATGCACTATGCACTCAACCATGTAGTGTATGAATTATATAAGGTTATTATGTCATTCATAATCAGAGTCTGATAGCCCCTCCCCCGGTACATAATTAAAGCTGCGACAGTTGAGTGCATGAAGTGTCCAACATTCCACACTTCGGCCCTGTCCCAAATGGCACGCTTCATGTGCACTTGTGGTCTTGCTGACTTACAATGGCAATGTCCGTTAAGTCCACAAGACCGTAGGGTTTCCCATTCTTCATTTTAGCTTTCAAAAGGGTGCTCGCGATGCGCACTTCTGCCCAGCCTGCAATGAGGCGAGCTCCGCAGCAGACTTCTACCTGACAGGCATTACATCACGAAAGTGTGGACTGTCCCAAATCGCACCCTAAACCCTCACTGTCTTCTCTGAGTCCACACTTTTGTGACATAATGCCGCTTTGACTGTCGGGTAGACTGTCAGTGCAGGCTCAGCAGAAGTGCGCATCGAGGGTGCATAGCGGCTGCAAAAGGGGCGCTCGCAAGCACCCTTCTGAAATCAAATGACAAATGGGACACCCATACGGTCTTGTGGACTTAACGGACACGCGCAAGCGTAAGACTGCAAGTGCACATGAAGTGTGCCATTTGGGACAGGGCAGAAGACCGTGAGGGTTTAGGGTGTGATTTGGGACAGGGCCTTTGTTTTTTCGGTTGCAAGTGCATCATCCGGGTGTATAAAAACGTTATAGAATAGTGCATAAGTTGGCGATTTGGGATGCACCTGAAAGGGTTAGTTCACCCAAAAATTAATCATTAATTTGTCATTAATTTCTCACCCTCATGTCATTCCAAACCCGTAAAACCTCCGTTCATCTACGGAACACAACATTCTGACAGCTCTCTGACCCTCCCATATAGCAAGGGTAATGTACAATATAGTAGACCAGAAACTATGTGAAATTAGTATTTATGTCCACAAATTTCTAGTGTCTGCAAAAAAAAGTAGGTGAAAAGTATGGGGGTAGAATTGTTGCATTATTCCACATAAATAGATTATGATCCACAAAAAAATTTAAAGAGATTTACAAAAATGTTTAAATCGCGTCCTGTAAACGTGATTGGTTATAGCGAGACCGTGCTATGATTGGTCAGCGAAGTATGGCTGTTATCTGATTGGCTTGAGTAGACGGTGGGTGGAGTCCACGCATTTGTGGATTGTCAGCTGTCTTAATGCTAGAAATGTTTCAAGATCCACAAATGCCTGCAGCGATCTACAAATGTACAGGACGCGATTCACAAATGAATAGCAGGCAAAGCTGTGTTTGTGACATAAAAATGTATTTGTGAATATGTTTTTTATTTGCAAATCTCATTTAATTTTTTTGTGAATTTAATTAATGCTTGTGAAACTCTGAGATGTATTTGTGGATCTCTTTCTATTTATTTGTCAGTATGTTTCATTTTTTGTAAATCTCTTTACATTTGTTTGTGGATCATAATCTTTTTTTTTTTTAATAATGCAACAATTCTACCCCCATAGAAAAGTACCCAGATGACCTAATACTTTCACAGAGATGAAGCGCGCATCAACTGGACACTTTTCAGATGCACCTCATGTATTTGTGTAGAAAGGAGGTGTATTTGGAGGCCTAATGCCATTCCCAAACCTGCAGATGGGGGTCTAAATGCACGTGGAAACTCCCTCGGCATCAACCCTAAGGAAAATGACATGGCTGTGTATTCTTTGAGGACAGACGTCACCGTGTAAGTGCATTTGAGCGAGAATCTCTCAGGCATCAATTATCCTCAAACAGACAGGCCGACGCTTGGCAACGTGGGGTCCAATTGCTCCTTACCCATATTAGGATGCGTTCAATATATTAATATGATCACGCCAGAGGCGAGGGCATAGAAGTGTGTCCGCACGCATCTCATTGCAAGGAGAGCTATGAAAGAAATTCCGCCAAAACAACGGGAGGGAGAAATTGGGGGAAATGAAAGAAGAGATGATGGACTACATACAGGACGTAGATGGAAACAGGATGTTTTATTGGGAACACCGCGGCCCAAACACCTTTCTAAGAAAGCACAGTTTTAAAGGGAACTGACAAATGGTTTGCTTGGCACGAATTTGCACCTCCTAATGGGAGAATCTTTTTGTGTCGCTCAAAAAGAAGTACAAGTAAAGGACCGTATTCCCACTACAAATGAAAACCAAATATAGGACATTAATCATAGCAAGGATTATGTAGGACAACCTAAACCTAGCATTCACATCCTAACAAGGATGTAGATGAAAAAATTAGAGCAGGCCTGCAGGGCTCAACACTCACGCACGCGCCTGCATGGAGGATGTTTAATTTAAATAATAATACATATGTAAATATTGTAAGTGCAGAACATCTGTTTATCTAGCGTATTTTGGAGTGCGAAGCGAGTTATCAGACCTGGAAGAACATTCAATCTATGCAGTAATCTTGAACAAACTGACTAATCTACTCACCACCTTGTTATTAAGCAAATCCTTAAAGGGGTCATATGATGCGATTTAAATTTTTCCTTTCTCTTTGGAGTGTTACAAGCTCTTGGTGCATAAAGAAAATCTGTAAAGTTGCAAAGACTAAAGTCTCAAATCCAAAGAGCTATTCTTTATAAAAGTTAAGAGTTAACCATGCCTACCTAAAACAGCTCGTTCTAACACACCCCCACATATCTACCTCACTATGTGGGAAGATTTGCATAACGCCGCCCAAATGTTCACACAAAGAAAGAAGGTGTAACTTTTATTCTCGCTGTAGTATTGTTGCCGCTGCCGCCATGTCGTGAAGACGCTGTGTGCTTCATTGTGAAAGCGAAACTACTTTGTTTGGTCTTCCAAAAGAGGACGATATCCGCTTCGTCATGCCTGGAGCTGATCCGTGCTGGTCGCTGAGGGAATACATCAACTTATTGTTGTGGATTGCCGAATCGGCTTTCACCATGGACAAAGCGGAGTCCAGCCTGGGGTCGTCACATGTGGTTGCCGCTCCTTCGTCGAATCCGCCGGACGCGCCGTTCTCGACCCCGCCGCCTCTGCTCACTCTAGCCTGGCCTCAGCTCACGCTAAGCCACGGCTTCTGCTCACGCTAGGCCGCCGTGTTTTTCGTGGTGAAAGCAAAACTACTTTGTTTGGTCTTCCAAAAGAGGACACGACTACAAATCAGTGGTTAAGTTGCATTTACAACACTGTTCCAGAACAGTTTAACCCAAATATTCAGATGTGTGCAGCACATTTTATGGAGGACTGTTTACTGATCCTGGGAGAGTTGACTACAATGCGGCTGTTCTGACTCACAGACAGTAAGTACGGTTTCATTTAAAGGATTTGCCACTGATGATTCAAACGCTAGTTTTGGGCAGTGTAGTAGCACCTGTTTGTAATTTCTCCGATCACAAATGCAGACAGGGTTTTAAAAAAGGCGGGGCATAGAGGAGAAACAATAATGTACAGTATGTGGAAAATAATGTGTTTTTTTTTACTTTAAACCGCATAAACACATTTCATTACACCAAATACACAAAATAATGTTCTTTTTAGCAGCATCATATGACCCCTTTAAATTAGATTTCTGTCCAGCGTGTCTTGTTTGCCTGCGGGGAACGAGGTAATATGTCTAGATGGACTACATATACTCAAAGGACATAATCAAGGCTTAGCAAGGTTATCAAGTAGACAGAGATCATAAACAATATACATCTGCTTTATTTTCGGTATGCAAAAATAAAGGTGCATGCATGGTAAACAAAAGTATAAATATACATCTCAAATGAGTATTAACAATATTCAAAACAGACTACTAGCTGTAGCTTATTCACAGATGAAAGCTTAACATATTCAGCACGTGTGAATGTCTCGGATGGCTGTCGTCCCCTGTTGGTGAAAGTGAAATTACACTTGAAATTCAGTCTGACTGGACTTTTACTAATAAAATCGTACTAACACAAAATTGTACTTACACAAACCGTAGACAATTAAGGACACGTTGTGTTGTAGTACCGGCTTAACCTGAAGCTAAATTCTAGGGATCATCTGCTTTTTTCTTTTTTCTGATGTTGTCAAACCAAATACAAGTAATGAAAGCATAAAAACGGGCTAAAAGCATTAAATACGGTTCATAAAAATGCAAATGTTACATATGCATTATGATACAATGATCAAGTATTATAAAACATACTAAAAACCTAGTCTTTGTGTAGAATAATTCAAAACGGGATGTTCTATCCTTTAGAATCTGTGTAATACCTGAACGGCAAGCAGCTTTAGTGTTTCAGAAGTTGTGAGACATTTGTAATGAATAACTGTAGTGTTAAATAGCCACAAATGCGTGTTTTATAGCACCTTTGATTAATCTGAATGTTGAGTATAAAGGCATATATCAGTATAATACAGAAATGAAGGCACTGGCAAACACCAACACACGCATCTATACATAAACTCGATAGCGTGTGGTCAGTGTGCATTTCATCTTTGGCAGAACAGCTGACAGCTGTTTATATCATAATGTGTGTGTCCCTGAGGCCCTGTACACAAGGTAGCAAACAGACCACACACAAAGTGGCACATTGGCACTGAATATCATTTAACAAGTCTTTCTCTCTTCACAAAATCAGACAGACGGAATACCAAAAGACACGAGCACAAACATTCACACAAACTTATAGGATATGTGCTCCATTCCATCATCTGGGCCAACAAGTAAAAGTTGCATGAAAAAAACAAAAAAACAAAGGCAGCAAAGAGAAAAGCTTCAATACTGTGGATTGACATCGAAAAACAGATACGAACGCAAAAATAATAAGATCAGTCCAGCGTTTGGAGGAATCAGTACTGAAACCAGCATGTGAAAGAGGGCAGATCAAGTCCGGTGGTTTTTAAGTCCACACACTGCACATTTTATTCCTTCTCTGCTGGCAGACAACATCTATATCATGAACTGAGTGTATCCCTCCGCCCCCGTAACGATAACGTCCATCCATATTCTCATAGCTTCTGGAGAGGGTGCCACCATGTAGTAGACACGATCATGAGTCTTCACACTGAAGGTAAGTGAAGGGTTTGGACTCTGAGAGAGAGGAGAGAGAAGGGTAAGATTACAGTTTGGCCTCTAGGGGGCAGCACTGAAACATTAAAACAGGGGTGTCCACACTTGGTCCTGGAGGGCCACTGTTCTGTAGAGTTTAGCTCCAACTTGCCTTGACGCAGCTGCCTGGAATTGTCTAGCATGCCTAACAAGACCTTGATTAGCTGGTTCAGGTGTTTGCTAAACTCTACAGGACAGTGGCCCTCCGGAAGCAGGATTGGACAAAAATTGAACTTTATTCATTAATTCTTGTTTAATAATTATTAAATAACAATAACCATCTTATTACAAACTTGGATTTTATTTTAAAAGTCAGTAAAGCATCACTGAACAGTAGCCATTTATACAAAATATAGTTATAGACAAAAAGGTTTGTTTTCATCATTAAAAGTTTGTTACCTGTTATTAAGTATTTTAAATGTTTCATAAATTACATGTTATTAATAATTAATGTCAATACATAAAATCAAAATGAATATAAAACGTTAAAAAGCTAAATTTGAATTGACATTCAAATTAACATTAAAATTGGTATGATTAAATATTTAAATTATTTTAATTTATTACTTAAATCAAAGCTAAAAATGACTGTAAACAGTATATAAAGCTTATTATATTGACAATTATTAGCTGCAGAGGAAAAGTACCTTGTGGGCGCTCTTTAAGTGGTCGTAATACACTTCCTCTATGGCCTGGAAATAAATCACTCCTTTCAGTTTGGCCTCATGTTTATCTAAACCATTAAAAAAAAAAAAAGTACAAAAATCAATTCTGATATCATTTGAATCGACCAACTTCATGAGTGAAGAAGTGAAATGAAGGGAAAAATCACCTGCATAGTAGCTCAGGGTCCTGCGGTTACGGTCGAAGACAAACCAGCGCTTTTTCCATGTTTTGATTTTGCCGCCCATCTTTACAAGAAAGCCCCTGCAGGTTTTCTCTGTGATGGAGACATGGTAACAAGTCTCTGTGTTGTGGCCGGCTGAGTCGATGTGGCCACGAAGGTCGAAGTCGTCCTTTCTTACAGGTAGGTAGCGTGTGAGAGGACGAGACTGCAGCAGGGTCACATACAGTATACAAAATTAAGTATTTGTGTATAAATCAATCTAAAAGTAGATGTAGTCTGTTCTTATGTGGCTGCTAATGTGTTCTGAGTGTTTTAGCATGTTTCCATGCAGTTTCTAGTGTGTTATGAGGTTGATAATCTGTTCCGAGTGTTTTAGTATGTTGCTATGCGTGTAAGCATTTTCTTATGTGGTTTTAGGTTTCACTCATGTCTGTGACGTTATGGGGCAAGCTAAAAAACAAAGTTATGACTTAAAGTTAGGTGTCTGTTCAAATGTCTATCCTAAATATGAGCACTAGTAATAGCGATGCATGTCTTCGCACAGAACTCACCTGTACTCTCTGTTTCTCACGAAGTTTCACCGTCATCATGGCAATCAACACGCATCATTTTCTGTCAGATATGCATAAGAATCAACACATAGGAGTTGTAAAGCTTGGCTGTACTGATGGTTAGATAAGGCCGAAGAAAAAAAAAACAACTACATAAAAAACAACAACTTAATATGCAAATATTCAAAAGAAGAGTGACCAATAGGAATTAATTAAACAGATACTGATGACATAATAGCTGTCAGATTTCTAATTACTGTGCCAATCATGCATGCACTGTAATTAGAATTTTCTAGATGCTTCTATGAACATAGATAAGTCAAGCTGAAATCGACTGCTTTAGTTATGGAATCTGACAGCTGTCAATCATTAACAAGATACCTGTGCATGCATGATGAAGTCATCTTTCTGGTTCTTAAAGTAAAAAAAAGGAATCTTTGCTTACGAAAGCTTTTTTTTTGGCTCTTTGTTGGTTAATTCCCAACTAAAGACGCAATTCAAAGAAGATTCAAAATCCAAATCAAGGCAAACCCATCATGCAAACATCAACCCCATCATGCAATCCTGCTCCATTCTGTCTATAACAGATTTCAAATAAAACAAATAAATGTTTTTGTTAATTTCTTCTTCGTTGTTCCATCTAATCGCCAAGCCATAGCATCTGGCCACCTTGTTTCCATCTTTTCCATTCCTCTGCACACACTGTATTCCTCTCATGTCCTTCATCAATCAGTTCTTTCATCTTTATTGTATCTTACCAGTGATGCCGGAGATGAACAGAGGTCATTCCTGATTTAGAACCCAAAGAACCAGCAGAGAGAAGTGGAACATAACACACAAAGACCCAAGAACAGCCTGAACCCGCGCTCTGCGACTGATTACATTCAAACTGGGGGGGAAGAAACCCTGAATCTGTTTCCTCCAACTGTTCCTGCTGTAACCTGAGTGGATCCATCCCTGGAGCAGAGGAGGGGGTATCAACGGTCCTTCTCGGGCCCCTCAGAACTCACATTATTCAAGCAAACCACTCAAATTACATAAGCACCGATCCGCTGCCTACAGCACACACACACACACACACACACACACACACACACACAGCATAAACACACATCGCTCTGAGAAATGACCTCATGTGGTCTCATCTGTCAAAGTCTTTTCATTAAGGTCTTCAACTAGTCACTTTTAAACAGACTTGAGGTTTATGGTAACCTACATGAGACCAGTCGTCAGAGCATTCAAATATGGTTCCTGGATTTCAGTTGCTCTGTCTTTCTCTCTATTCTTTCCTCACACGTTGCCCTTGTCCTCAATATTTCATTAATTGTACCCCAGACAGAACTCTTGGCTTGAACTACAATAGGAAATGTTTTCAATTACAAAGACATGGTATGTGTCATCATGAGTTTATACGATCCATCTGCAGATCTGGAAACACAACTACGGTCTGAATCTAAATGGGGGACATACAATAGATTTCTGCGGTTTTTAATATAAATATTCTTTATATTTTGTATTTATAATTAAATTTAAACCACCATTCAAAAGTTTTGGGTAAAATTCAATCAACAGCCATTACTAAAGTGTCACATAATCCCTTTAAATCATTCTAATACGCAGATTTGGTGCTAAATAAATAGTTCTTATTATTATCCATTTTGAAGTTGTGCTGCTTAATATTTTTGTGGAAAGTGATTTTAATTCAGGATTCTTTAATGAATAAAAAATTCTAAAAAGGACAGCATTTTTTGAAATATAATTTTTCAGCATCCTTGCTGAAAACACACACACACACACACACACACACACACACACACACACACACAGCATAAACACACATCGCTCTGAGAAATGACCTCATGTGGTCTCATCTGTCAAAGTCTTTTCATTAAGGTCTTCAACTAGTCACTTTTAAACAGACTTGAGGTTTATGGTAACCTAGATGAGACCAGTCACCAGAGCATTCAAATACGGTTCCAGGATTTCAGTTGCTCTGTCTTTCTCTCTATTCTTTCCTCACACGTTGCCCTTGTCCTCAATATTTCATTAATTGTACCCCAGACAGAACTCTTGGCTTGAACTACAATAGGAGCTGTGGAAATGTTTTCAATTACAAAGACATGGTATGTGTCATCATGAGTTTATATGATCCATCTGCAGATCTGGAAACACAACTACGGTCTGAATCTAAATGGGGGACATACAATAGATTTCTGCGGTTTTTAATATAAATATTCTTTATATTTTGTATTTATAATTAAATTTAAACCACCATTCAAAAGTTTTGGGTAAAATTCAATCAACAGCCATTACTAAAGTGTCACATAATCCCTTTAAATCATTCTAATATGCAGATTTGGTGCTAAAGAAATAGTTCTTATTATTATCCATTTTGAAGTTGTGCTGCTTAATATTTTTGTGGAAAGTGATTTTAATTCAGGATTCTTTAATGAATAAAAAATTCTAAAAAGGACAGCATTTTTTGAAATAAAATTTTTCAGCATCCTTGCTGAAAAAAAAATCTTTAAAAAAATTAATTAAATAAAGCATACTGAAACTTTTAAAAGAAAGTTTAACACCACATAAATATTTTTTCCAAAAATCCCCAGACGCCACCAAAAAGGTTTTGTCAGACCCAGATAGAATCAGTGTCAAAAAAATAAATAAATTCCCTCACCTGGAGACGTTGTCGGGCGAGCAGGCAGAAATGCTGGTTTCCATGCTGTCTGAACTGTCCACACTCAGCGTGTCAAAGGCACGGCTGTTGTCTTGGTAACCAAAGGAATCCAGGTAGACGTTGGTCTGTGAGGATGCGCGGCCACCGAGATCACTCAACCTCGTTCGGTGCTCCTCGCCAATGTGCTGCTGACTGTGCCCTGAGAAATATGCCAACCATTCAAAGAAAACCTGAATTTAGCAATAATGAACACTATGAAATTGCACCGTTTAGTATCAAGCACCACATGAGTCTTCCTGTCTGTTTTCAGGGCTATCTCAGCTTTACCTGAGAGTGCAGCATCACTCCCAGGAGCAGATTCTCCATTCCTGCTGCCCAGCTCAGTGTCCTCTGGACAGGCACTGCCCAGGGCACCCTGGGGCCCTTTACTGTGCTCACAAATATCAGCCACTGTGCAATAATATCCTGACAACACACACTACTGTTCAAAAGTTTGGGGTAAGAAATTAGTATTTTTATTCAGCAAGGACACATTAAATTGATCGAAAGTGACAGTAAGACATTTATAATATTACAAAAGTTTATATTTCAAATAAACACTGTTCTTTTGAATGTTATATTTTTCAAAGAATCCTGAAAAAATGTATCACCGTTTCCATAAAAAGATGAAGAACAACGGTTTTCAACAATGATAATAATAAGAAATGTTTCTTGAGCACCAAATCAACATATTAGAATGATTTCTGAAGGATCATGTGACACTGAAAACTGGAGTAATGATGCTGAAAATTCAGCTTTAACATCAAAGCAATAAAATACATTTTACAATCTATTAAAATGATAACAGTTTAAACATTTTAAATGGTAATAATTTCCCTATATTCACTGCCCAGGGCACCCTGGGGCCCTTTACTGTGCTCACAAATATCAGCCACTGTGCAATAATATCCTGACAACACACACTACTGTTCAAAAAGATGAAGAACAACGGTTTTCAACAATGATAATAATAAGAAATGTTTCTTGAGCACCAAATCAACATATTAGAATGATTTCTGTAGGATCATGTGACACTGAAAACTGGAGTAATGATGCTGAAAATTCAGCTTTAACATCAAAGCAATAAAATACATTTTACAAACGATTAAAATGATAACAGTTTAAACATTTTAAATGGTAATAATTTCCCTATATGCCTGTGTTTTTGATCAAATACATAAATGCAGTGAGCAAAAGAAACTTTAAAAAACACAACATCTTTCTGACCCCAAACTTTTGAATGGTAGTGTATGTGACAGAATACCTTACTCCGATTCATAGATTGGATCCCAAGCCCCTAATGACACCCTTCTTCAGCTACAAGTCAAGCACAAAGAGATGGTTTGATATATTTGAGCTTAATATCGATTTAGACGCTGTCTCCTGGAGATAGACCGTTTAACTTGTAGCTAGATCAACTAGTACTGCTATAATAAGCTCAGTGGATATGAGATTCGACTCCACTACAACCTTGATAACATCAACCACATCGAGAAAAAGCAGAGACCCGCCTCTCTGATGATCCTACCCAAGGGACCTTCAGATAAACCATCCGACAATACAGTCAAGCTTTTCATCTACAACAGTAAACTCATAATGCTCACATACTCAAAAAGGTTTTAGTGTATTAACATCAAAGCTAAAGAATTAAAAAGAAAACGTTCACAAACAAACTGATCAGGTGGAAAAGAACACAGATATTTGTTGAAAATAGAATGGAAGCATTTCCTGTTCATCATCTTCCCAACATTCTTTCACTATCTTCACAAAACAAATAAATAAATGCATAACATTTCCACCCAGATGGAACAAATGCTTCCTATTGGAGGACATCAAGTCCTTTTAAGGAGACTTACTTTAATTGGTCTTGATTTGCTTGTTTTGGTGGTCTAGAGAGCCTTAATGTGGCAATGGTTACAGAGTAACTACACAAACAACTGCTATCACGAGTGAGCATGGTGTTGTTGCATGCTGGGTAATTCATTTCTTTCATTTCAGAAAACTAAAGGTGAGGTCACATTTACCGCAGTTCTGAACATTTTTGTAGGCATTTGAATAGAAATCTACGCGATAGGAACATTTGCTTGAGGGTGAAAGATTTCCCTAGGCAGATTTCGCAATGGTTTCAAGTTGATCACACAGATGTTTACCAATGGAAAGCTGTTCGGATTGAAGGTGATTCTGTGTGAGTTGTGCTTCATACGTCTCTACACTACTGACAACAGACCTTTTTTGCCTGCATAATGTTGCTAAAATTTCACTAATGTGACCGCACCTAAACTTCGTATTCTGCAGAGGAATTTTGATTGAAGCCATGCCTCATTGCTGTCAAAATACCCATAAACACCCACCATCAGCTCTCTAGACCATAAACAGCAGGGTGACATAATAATTAAAGTCTATGAATAAAAATACAACAAAAACAAATGACTACATACACACCTCATCATGCAGGACTGAATTACTAGAATAACATCACACCATTGTATGAAATAAATCATCATCTCATGCCTTTTGTAATGTGTATAAAATAGCAGCTTTATTTCATACAAGATTCAGCCTCATCCAATAGGACCCATAAAAGGCCCTGGTGAGTGCATACAATTAAAGAAACACTAAAGGTTTCTCCATTTCAGAGAGACCAGACACATAAAAAGCAACAAGAGTGGGGTTGATATCAGCCAATCACCAAGGCAATCGATGTCTCCCAAAGGAGGACATTCTTTGCCAGAGAGGACACGCTAAGAGGCTTTGTCATTATTTGAATGGAAATTATCTTAAAGGCACATTGAGACTACTGTAGGCAGACTACTGTACCTTTCTTAGATTTGCCTGCAGGATAGAGAATGTAATTCATGATTAGGTAACGTTTGACTTATGAAGCATCGCTTTTGATGTGTATGATGTAATGCTACATAATAACACTGTATATTTTAAACTGTGTGTTTGAGGTGGAGAGCCCTACCCTTGAGCAGGCGGTGTGTATCCATGTGTGTCTCTTTAGGGGAGATGGCAAGGTCTCGGTTCAACACACTCCCACAGCTGGAGCTTTGAGCTAAAGGTGGATGAGACTAAACACAGGGGGTGATGCTAGAGTGAGCTTTTACTTCATACACACACTATCGTTCAAAAGTTTGAGGTCAGGAAGAAGGTTTTTGGATAATTATAAATGTAAAATTTTGTAACATTTATTGTAACTTTTGATTAATTTAATGCAGGGCTGCCCAAACTCGGTCCTGGATGGCCGGTGTCCTGCAGAGTTTAGCTCCAACTTGCTTCAACACACCTGCCTTTAAGTTTCTAGTATGCCTAGTAAGAGCTTGATTAGCTGCTTCAGGTGTGTTTAATTGGGGTTGGAGCTAAACTCTTCAGGACATCGGTCCTCCAGGACCGAGTTTGGACAGCCCTGATTTAATGCATCTTTGCTAATTAAATGTATTAATTTCTTTTTAAAAAAATCAAATCTTACAGTAGTGTGAAGTTAAAAAATATGTAGATGTTTAAAATTTTTTGACAATATATTATTATATTATATTATATTAACCAAGAAGATATTTAAATGAGCTAGAAATAAAACAGAAAAATACATAAAACATTTTCCACTTTTTAAAATTAAATGAACAAGGAAGAATTATATGTAATCAATGCACCAAAACAATACATTTTAATAATAATCAGCAACATTTACAGATATATTTTTAATAAAACATTATAAAGTGTGCCAGAAAAAGTTACTATATAAGCTGTTACAAAACCAGATAGTCTTTGGGAAACTTAATGGCCAAATAATAATATATATTTTTAATTATTTAAAAAAATATTTTATATATTTTTATTTTGAGTGAAATCATTGTGACAATCACAAATGATGGTTAAATTTCATAATTGCAAACAAAACACTGAATACACAGTAAAAATTAATTATACCATCCAGTACATATTTAGTTTATGACCATATTTATTATTTACTTGATATATATATATATATATATATAGATATATATATATATATATATATAGATATATATATATATATATATATAGATATATATATATATATATATATAGATATATATATATATATATATATACTGTATATATAAATGTCATAATGTATATAAATGTCATAAAATGCACATAAGTGACTTCTATGTAAATATGTAATTGTATAATCGATTCTTACTTTAGAGGGTATGTTACGACCCAGGGTGGCACAGGTGAACTGTGGGGTTATGGTGGGCTGGGTCTTCTTCCGAGGAAGAGTGTCACTCAAATGAGCTCCGCCTCCCTTACCGTACCGCTTCCTTTCTTCTAGGGTGCGGAAATGCTGAGGAACAGAAGGTTGAAGGTAAGAAATTTCACTAATAATTGCACTCATACATACATACACACATACTCGCAAGGTTTACCTGCCTGTGGCGGCGCTGTTTTTTGGCAGGTAGAGGAGGAGGAGGAGGAGGAGGAGGAGGAGAAGGGTTGAGGAAGGTGACCATGTCTTCAGGCCAGTGCACAGAGGGAGGTTTAGGATTGGGACGAGAACATGCAGTGAAAGAGGAAGAAGGGGTGGAGGAGGACAGTGGGCAGGAAGAGGGAGAGACTTTGGCAAAGAAGAGGGAGGGCTTTGGCAAAGACAGGAAAAGAGAAAATCTGAAAATAAGAATGCTAGAAGAAGGTGGGCTGATAGGCTAGTTTGTTTAAAGGGGTCATATCATGAAAAACTGAACTTGCCTTGATGTTTTACAATAAACTAACACCAAGATAGTAGTATGAAATTACCTCTTAAATTAAAAAAAAATCTAAGAGAGAATGAAATTAAATATATATATATAATTATTAACTTGCATTAATATTATTATTATTGTATAGTACATGACCTGTTAAAAAAATCAAAGCAAAAGGGAATCAAATTATAATAATATAATTAATATTTATTTATAAAAATGTGTATATAAACATATGTATATGTTTATAAATTATTATCATATTCAATTATATAATAATAATAATAATAATTATTTAGTAGAATATGACATCTAATTTAAAAAATAAAAGAGAAAGGGAAATCAAATAAATAATAATAATAATAATAATTATTATTATTATTATATTTGTATGTATGATATGACCCCTTTAATTTAAAAAGAATGAGAGAAAGGGAATCAAATAATATAAATAAATATCATGAAATCCCACAGTGACCATGTAACATGACCTTTACCCTCTTTCCAGTACTTGACGTGCGCACACTAAACCCAAACTAAATCCTGGACACGCTTAACTCCTAACACATATAAACCATCCTGATCACACACCTCACCCTCTACCGGCGGGGCAGTGCTCTCTGCAGGACTGGGGTCAGTCCCTGTGGCAGGGGCGTCAGGAGAAGACTGAGCTTGGATGGGGAGGGGGGCTGGGGTGGGATCTACCCCCAGCTGAGAATACAGTTCATTGATCTCATTGACTGTAACATAGCCCTGGAACAAACCATTCGGAAAATGGGGGGAAGAGGGGTAAATAGGAAAAAAAATAAAATAAACATACATTCAAGTATGTTAAAATGATTAATGACAAGCATATGAATAACAGATGAATAACAGATTTGGAAAAAAAAGAAGAGTAATTAAAAAATAAAATAAAATGATAATAAATTAAATTAAAAATTTAATTAAAAAGTGAATAAATAACAGATGAATTAGTAAAATAAAAAAAGAATAATTCAGTTAATGTTTAATGGATCCAAACAAAAACCTCAAAGGAATTTGAAGCACTGATAAAACAGTAAAAGAGCAAATAATTAGAGGTTATTTTCAGAGCATTATGAACTTAACTACCCAGAGAAGCGGCATGCTAGGAGGTATTTTGGAAAGCAGGAAATGAGCAACAAACATTATCTTGCATGCACACTGCTAGTGCTTTACCTCAGCATTTTTGATAGTCAGAGAGGAAAGAAGAGAATAAAACATCAGCAGGTCAGCAGGAAGTGGAGGCAGGGTTTTGTGGGCATGGCAAAATTCACTATGAGGTGGACACACGTCGGCCAACTGGAAGCAATCCTGGAATACAGGGAAAAAAGACCCTGTTTCCACGGTGAGATTTCCAGGTTGCAAGGGTCGTGATGAGGGCACGGGTGAAAAAGCGATCAAAACGAAGACTTCCTTATATACTGTAGTTCCATTCATGATGTTATAGTAACCTTTTAGGGCAGCCACACATGGCTGAAGTGCTCAGGTCCATAACACATGTGCAGTCCAAGAGAGGATTCCATAGTCCATGTCAAGAGAAGATTTGTAGAGAAGACACAATCCTGTCAGACTTACCTCCTTCATACTGATGGGCCTGACAGGGAAACCCAATGCCCCAGTGAGCTTAGAATATTTCCTCTCCAAGTTGATGAGATTCTCTTTTTCCTGGGAAAAAATGAGAAAGACTGTCATGATTCAGAAGCACCAACAGCTTTCAATGAAGGGTGCAAAAAAAGGGACCAAAAGTGTAGCATGGCTATGTAGTAATATTACACAGACATACCTGCTGTAGCATCATCTGAAGATTGTTCTTTTCCTTCACAAAGTTGTCCTTGTCCCTCTGAGCCTGCTGGGAAATCTGGGTATGCTGTTTCTTCAGGGCCAGGAGCCTCTCCTAAAGGTTTCACACATATAAACGTGTTGGAATGATCATATTTACAGATTTTCTTTGAGCCTCAACTTTGGAGATGAGCCAAATAGCCACTTTAGGAGGCTTGTGATAAAACTTTCCCATTGTTCTCTGTGGCAGCACTAGAATGATGGTCGGTAAGATTTTAAAAAGAATTTTAAAACTAACAATTTTATCCAGCAAGGATGTATTAAATTTATCAAAAAGTGTCAGTAAAGACTTAAAAGGTTACACATTATTTCTATTTTAAAAATGCTGTTCTTTTGAACCTTCTATTCAACAAAGAATCCTGGAAAAAATGTTTTATGTAAAATATTAAGCAGTTAACTGTTAATAATAACAGAAAAATATAATATAATTACATATAATTCTTCCTTGTTCATAATGTTTTCAACATTGATAATAAGAATAAATGTTTCTTGAGCATCAAATCAGCATATTAGAATGATTTCTGAAGGATCATGTGACATATGAAGATTGGATTAATGGCGGCTGAAAATTCAGCTTTGTCATCACAGGAATAAATTACATTTGACAATATATTAAAATAGAAAACAGTTCTTTTAAATGGTAATAATATTTCACAATATTACTGTTTTTATGTGTATTTTCGATCAAATAAATGCAGCCTTAAGCCTTGGTGAGCATAAGAGGATTCTTTCAAAAACATTTTTAAACATTTGAACTGTAATATTGATAAAACATAAGTTGCATTTAATTCACATCTTTTGCTTTTTATTTTTCTGTACTAGTGCTTAAAAGCTTTCCATCTTTGTAAAAAAATGAGAAAAAGCCTTTTCTCTTTCTGCCCATCAAATCATTTGAACGCAAAGTTCTTACTCATAAGTAAGAACTTTTCAGGATGACATGAAGGTGCCAACAGGCTGGTGAATGCATATCGAGGAAGCTCACCTTCCGTGTGACGGTGCTCCTCTGGTATTCTGCGATCTCCCTGAGAATATGTTGTGTCCGAGTCTCTTTCTCCTCATCCTGACGACTCTCTCGTTCCAGCTGTTGAAACTCTAGGTCTTCAAACCGCTTGGTCTCCACCTCTAGCATTTCTGCATCCTGATACACAAAGACATGACAGTCTGCATTTGTGCTAGTTCTATATCTCCAAACTGGGAAGGAAATGAAGTCGTAATACTCCCACAGTTTAACAAGCGTCAAAGAAACCAACAATAGTTCACACCAAATCCCCTCTGCTCCAGCAGCCTCCCCAGGGATGGAGACAGGGGTTAAGGTTTCACCCTGCTGGAAGCAGGCCAATAGCTGCTAGAAACATGCGCCACGACATGCCAGTGAACAGAAGACCTGCCACAACTTTCACCCGTCACCACTGACCTTTAGAGATCAATCATGTCAACACTCACATAACATGACCTTCTGTGACAAAGAAACTCTGCAGCCATTCCATTCCATTCCACTGCAGAAACAGCTCTGTATTCCACACTTTCATTCAAGGCCTGCCAGCTTTAAATAACCTCGTCCCTTCCTATAACTTAATTAACATCTTATATGGTCACTATCAGGGAATGTTTACCAGCCTATCAGGGTGAATCTCATGAAACTTATGAAACATGGCTTGGACCAAGAAATAAGAAATGATACTTGGAGATTTTTAGCATTGTGACATTATTTTTTATGACAATTAAGCATACCCTTTTTCAATTTCTCAATATTGTAATGCAAAAAAAAAGAAAGAAAGAAAGAAAAACAACTTCATTAGAATAATTTGATAATAATAAAAACATAATAATAATAATCAGCATAAAAATAAATCATCATCATCATCATCATGATCATTAATATATATTTATTCAAATATATATAGTAATGCAGAAAAACATTACATTTAATTTAATAATTAAATTCAGAGAATTTAGTTTAATCTTAAGAAAAATATTGTAATTGTATTGTGAAACATTTAGAATAAATGCAAAAAAAAAAGAAAGAAAGAAAGAAAAACAACTTCATTAGAATAATTTGATAATAATAAAAACATAATAATAATAATAATCAGCATAATAATAAATCATCATCATCATCATCATGATCATTAATATATATTTATTCAAATATATATAGTAATGCAGAAAAACATTACATTTAATTTAATAATTAAATTCAGAGAATTTAGTTTAATCTTAAGAAAAATATTGTAATTGTATTGTGAAACATTTAGAATGATTCAATAAAGATTGTTTTTGCAGTATAACGTTTATATATAAATAAAATATAAAAAATATAGCTAGTTGTAGTTACCTTGATTTACTAAAATAAAATAAAATGAAATTTTATACAAACTACATTAACATACTTAAACTAATAAAATGATAAATTAAAGTTCAAATAAAAATGGAAAATATAAAAATAAAAACTTATTACAAATATTAAACTATAAATCTCAATGATGCTAAAATAACATAATTACATAATAAATAATAATTACAATGCATTACAATAATGAGGATGAGATTTTTTGGATTACAGTAATGTGAATTTGAGGGAAATGTGTTTAATATTTGCACAAAAATTGGTAAATAATTAGACTTAAAATTACTGTTAATACAATTTTTTATTAAATTAAAATAAAAAATGTAATCACATTTATTTTACTTAATTAATATTTTGATTTTATTTAAAAAATATATATTTTAAATATTTCAAATTTTGGAGAATCAAATATGACCCATCAGTGCCAGGAGCAATATTCTGATTATATCAACAACAACAAAAATTTTTAATTCAAAAACATTATGCAATTCATAACAAACATACAGGAAGCGCATACGATACAAGAGTAGGAAGCCAGCTGAAATGTCTTTCATGGAGGTGAGACAGGTGCAAGCGCTAGGGATGAAGAGGACAAGGACCTGGTTATGAGGAAGAGGTGGATGAAGGCTGTGTTTGAGTACTGACCCTGCAGAGCTGCAGATGAAGTTGCTCTTTCAAGGCTTCGGGGCAGGTGTCCAACTGAGTCTTCTGCTCTGCAAGCAGATGCACCAGTCGCTCTAACTTTACACGCTCCGCATCTAGCTTGGCTTTGTCCTGCATGTACGCGCATAGGATGCAGGGAGAGAGGAGAGAAGGGTTAGTGCCGGGGCAGGTGGGGTGGCCAGGGTTAGTTACTACACAGTCAGTAACAGCACAAGTGAGGCATGATAGATGTGGAGGTGTTGAATTAAATGAAGAACATGAAAACGCAGGAAAATGATAGCTGACATTATCAACACTCAAACAACTGTAAAATACCTCAGCAATCAGTTCGAATTGAACTGAAATTGACAAGTGGCCACTTTGCATGTTAACAACACTGCAAACAATGGCCTCATGTGGCGGCAACAGCAATTTGATAACAGACACCAATGTTCAATAACTACTAATAATCATAAAGCAATTCTTGCATCAAGTAATACTGTCCAACCATAGACAGTTTATGGTTGTCAAACAACAAAACGCATTAATATCACGTTCACTTAATAATTCTGTTTCAAAACCTAGCAAGATTTCTTGCTCCACTTCCTACATAGTCAGCATCCTAATCGCAATGGAACTTAATAAGTGAACAAATCAACCATCTTCTTTAAGAGTTAGCATGTCAGAAATGGGCCGTCAGCTAAAGGGTTTGTATCTCAAGTGTCTCTGCAGCTGCCAGGCTAAATGAATGAATGAGCCGGAAGCCAGGCTGAACTTGAGACGCAGGTGCCAGGATTTCCACCAACTCCTGTCTTAGAAATCCCCTGCATCAACACAGTGTGTGGTGTCACTCAGTTTAGCAAAGGTGTATTTAGAGCAGAGCCGGAATCACCAACTGTGACACGGACTGAGAGGCTGCCAGGAAGTGCAAGTGTGTATGTGTGTGTCTGTGAAATGCAAATGAATTTAAGGCTATATATTAATATTTAAGAAATAATAATATGTATTGTAAACTTAACATTCTGTACATAAAGGTGCTGACAAAGATACTTAGCATAACTGAATTTAACTACCTTTTAATTAGCTACTCTAGAAGCAAAAGTAGCCAACTACACTAAAGCTATTTAAGGGGGCAATATTTTTTAAATACATTTCCATCTGATAATACAATTTAACAGCATTTATCTGGCACAAAAACCAACAATCTCAATTAGGGTAACATAAATCTACAATAAAAATTAATAATGAAACATGCTAGATTCTATAACAGACTCAAAACCAATGATGAACAACAGCAGTTGGCTACAAAATACAAATACCTAGGGCCTCAAATCAGTGTTTCATTTTGTTACACTGAAGTTTGGGGGTCAGTATGATTTTCTTTAAAAGAAGTCTCTAATGCACACAATGGCTGCACTTATTTGATCAAAAATACAGAAAAATGGTAATGTTATAAATTATTATTACCATTTAAAAGATAGTTGTGGGGAAAGTCGTGGCCTAATGGTTAGAGAGTCGGACTCATAACCCAAAGGTTGTGGGTTCGAGTCTCGTACCGGCAGGGATTGTAGGTGGGGGGGAGTGAATGTACAGCGCTCTCTCCCACCTTCAATCCCACGACAAGGTGCCCTTGAGCAAGGCACCGAACCCCCAACTGCTCCCCGGGCGCCGCAGCATAAATGGCTGCCCACTGCTCCGGGTGTGTGTTCACGGTTTGTGTGTGTACACTTTGGATTGGTAAATGCAGAGCACTAATTCCTAGTATGGGTCACCATACTTGGCCACTTCACTTCACTATTTTTAACTGTAATTTATTCCTGTGATGGCAAAGCTGAGTTTTCAGCAGCCATTAGTCTTCAGTGTCACATGATCCTTCAGAAATCATTCCAATATGCTGATATTATGCTCAAGAATCATTTTGGTTGGTTATTATTATCAGTGTTGAAAACAGCTGGATTATTAAATGAATAAATGGTCAAAAGAATTTATTTGAAATAGTAAAGACATTTATAATGTTACAAACAATTTATATCACTTTTAATCAATTAAATGCATCCTTACTGAATAAAAGTATTAATTTCTTTAAAAAGAAAAACAAAAAATCTTACTGCCCCAACTTTTGAACAGTAGTATAAATCAATGTAGCGTTAGTTCTGGCACGTCACGTGAGTCAAGCTTTCATCGGCTGACTCTCAGCTGATCCACGTCTACCTGTAGGGATACGACGCCTATCACAGCATCCATATATAAGGTCCTTTAGTATTATCAGCAGAGACAAGAAATAATAATCATGCAAACAGAATAATTTCTGCTGTGGTGCAGCTCCAAAGAGAAAATCAATCGTTGTTCAGTTGAAGTCAGCTCAGTGTTGATTCTGTTCGAGTATCAGACACACTTGTTCTATCTAGTTGTATTGGAAACATGCTTGTTCTTAAAGCTATCTGGTTGTTATTGGGAACATGCGTGTTCTTAAAGCTACAGTGAATTGGGAACATGCTTGTTCCAAAGCTATCTGGTTGTTATTGGGAACATGCGTGTTCTTAAAGCTACAGTGAATTGGGAACATGCTTGTTCCAAAGCTATCTGGTTGTTATTGGGAACATGCTTGTTCTTAAAACTACAGTTGCACTGGGAACATTCTTGTTCTTAAAGCGTCATGAAACCCCAGACTACTTTTTCTGAGATTTTAGCAGAGGTGTTTGTGTTGCATATCATAGAAGACAATGTTAGCATCTGATAACTTTTACTGTTGGAGAAAATTGGTTAATTTTAAGCTTTTTTGTGCTATTTTCATCTTCCGGGTTTAAAATCTACATCGTGTTGACATCACAATTTGTGACGTGGCAAAGGACTATAGTACATCGATGACGCGTCGGTGTCTATTAAATTATTCATGAGACTGCATGTTCTTATCCTATGAGAAGACGCTTCGCTTAATTATTCACAACAGCATGTGTTGATTTGCTATGACAAACGCTTCAGATTGTGAGATCGCGCACTGAGAGAAACATTCATGGATCGAACGGTGGAGAGAACTAACCAGGGCTGAAACAGGGGGTTTCATGCTATCTGGTTTCTGTTGGAAACATGCTTATGAGATTTTCGCTGTCAGTTTGTGTTGGAGGATATCAGCATATGGTTTTGTTTTGCGGGGTTATCGCTGCTCTCTCTGCTCCTATCCATGCTAGGCTGCGTGGATGCGCAGGGAGTTCTTTCCCAGAACAGAACCACTCCACCAATCCAAACTGTATGCTAATTGTCAATCATCTTTGACGAAAGTGGTCCTGACAGAAACAAAGTAGTACACTTTTGATATTTATATGAACTGTCTGAATGAACTAAATCCTTAAAAATGAATCTGACTACTGAACTACTGTACATACCAAAATAATGGACAGTGTAGGAGAGCATTAATGTAGGAGAGAGTTAATAACTTCACCATTAGGTACTCCCTAACACTGATTGACAGATTTCATCATGGCCCATACCTGAGATTTTTCCGTCTGTGCTTTGTTCTCAATGTCAGCCATCTTCTCTTTAAGTTGCTCCAAAGCGTCTTTCTCCTGCTGTAGCTGAGCCGTCTCCGAATCCTGCTCGCCTTCCAACAGAGCGCGCTCCACTTCCAACTAAACACACACACAATGTACTTAATTACTTACTCAATCTAAAGTTCTGTTTTAAACAAAATCCATCACAAAAATTCACTGTCACTTAGAGTAACTACTGCAACAAATTCAATGATTTTGTGGAGAACAGTGATGTCATGTCGCTACGATCTGGACCACCAAGATGCCTCATTTCACACAAATAAAAAGGGGCCCACGTTCTAAACCCATAAAAGTCCAACCTCATACAACACAACACTGACATTTTGGGTGTATTGAATGGGGCTCTAATGGAACAGCTGACTTAGCAGGAACTGCTGACACAAGACCAACCTACCTATGTATCATTAATCAAGAGATTAAGGAGTTTCTGCTTTAAGGCCAACTTAGGCCAGCTTTCTCTTGTGCTTTGGACCTTGGGCTTTATGAACACCTTTGCAGTGTCTAAAAGGGCATAGAAATAGGATACGTTCTTATGTTCAGAACCAACTTGACAGAGTGAAAAACAATGAAACAGAAGCAGTTTGTAGGGATCAATACACCATAAAGTTGGCTAGATGGAAATACTGTTAGCTATACACTTTTAAAAATAAAGATTCTTTACTGCCATCTATGGATCCATGAAGAATGTTTAACATCCACAGAACTTTCCATTCCACAAAAATATTTTTTATAGTGAAGATAGTGAAATTAATCTTCACATTAAGAAAATATGGTTCTTGTGAGAACTGTTGACTGAAAGGTTATTTGGGGAGCCAAATATGGTTCTTCTATGGCATTGCTGCGAAAACCCCTTTTTGGAGTGTACAGCTATTTTTTTTACACCACTACGGAGAGACTACTAATCTAGTTATTGTTAATTTTAGTGCATGAATGTAGCGTCCATTCTCTGACATTGATAGACACCACTCTATCTCTAAGAGCAAATTTACCTCTGCCTTCAAACCTCAGTAGATCTTTAAGGAGAGAAAGGAACAAATAGGAAAAATGAGGATGACAGGAAGGGAAAGTGCATTACAGTGGAAATACAGTGAAATCAAATCAGGAATGAAGAGCATCATTTAAAGGGAAAAACAGAAAGTGAGGCTTTAAGTGAGAGAAAGTAAAACAGATTTAGTCTTGGCAGTTCAGACCTCCTTTTCTAGCTGAGGTCCTCATCACAGCTCCTGATTACTCTGCCACATGCACAACTTTCCCACACAGACACTCTCCCTTCACTACTCACACCATCCCTGATCTCTCCCACTTCCTGCATGACCTGTAGATGTGTCTACTATACCTCTCTGATGGACTCCTCCATCTGGTTGTCCAGGTCTTTGATCTTCAGCTCTAACTCTTCCATATTATTCAGGACCTGGATCCTCTCCTCCTCGATAAGTCTAACGTCCAACTTCAGCTGTGTGTCATCCTCAGGCGCCTGCTGAAGACAAGATAACGTAAGCAACCACACAACTATACTGAACAATAAAATAAAAAGTAAAACACATAAAAGACATTAGGTCGGTTTAAAATTAAAATGACTGAAAAATTTTTTTTTTAAATTCATATAAAGTTAAAATATATATTTTTTTAATTAGATGAATGACAAACTTGAAGCACTGAAACTACTAAAACTGAATTAAAAACAAATTAAATAGAAATATTTGAAAATAATACAAATGACAGGAGCACAGTACAAAATTACTAAAACTAAAAACTAAAATTGAAATGAAAAATACAATTTTTATTTTAAAATATTAATAAACACTAAACACTCCAGATGTTAATTAAAATAAATAAATAAATAAATTAAATTGCACGTCATTTCACTTAAACTTAGAAAGGTTTCCTTAGCAAAATAAAAATAAATTAAAGCTAAATTTAAAAAAAAAATCTATATATATATATATATAAATAATGCAGCAAACTGTACTGGAATCGGTTGTGCAGCCTGTTAGCTTTGAGTGGGAAGCACCAGTGCATTTCAAAGCAGTCTCTTATTAGGTTCTATATTGGTAACTTAGGATGCTTACTTAGAAGTTAGCTGCCTATGTAGACAGCAAAAAGCAGGGCAGCTCACTAGGCTTTGAAACTGAGCTATCATGTGCATTTTGTTCCCTCGTTCAGGTATGTACACAGTTTTCAGCTGCTATTAGTGAATGTTTAACCTTCCAAGCTAAACATATTAGTAATGCTGGGTTTTGAATTGATTCCTAATGCTACATTTACAACTGGGCTAATTGTCAATGCAAATAGTGTAAAGCCCTTTAATGCAAGCCATCTATAGCATGGACATGCCCCCTTCTGGCAGCTGCGCTGACCTTTAGCTCTGAGAAACAGGATTCATTGAATGAACACCAACAACGATGAATGGGTCCAACTGAAAATTCGAGGAACATTGGGGCGGAGTTACACACTCCATTTCCTAAACCAATTATTTATCTAGGTTTTTAATATCCGTGGAAGGTGATCTGCTTATTTTGAGTTTTATAAGCAAAAAGTTGACAATTCCACATGTAGGCCTACGTGCATGTATGATTAGGACAGCACATATGGATGAGAAGTCTGCCATTCTTCCATTGTGTGAGGCAAAGATCAACCAAACACAATGCGCATGACCCTGCTATATTTGGACAGTGATGTTTATATCTGCTCATCACAGTTTATACTATAGAGGGCACATCTCTGAGCTGCTTCAGCGGTTTCTGTGTGGGCCAGAAGGGAGAAAAAGTGCCAATACAGATTTATGGGCTATTTTGTGTTTTATAGCATATCTGTAGATGGATAAATAACAGAACCAATGCATGACCAACAGAACCAGGCACAAAAAGACTAATTAGATCAGTCCATACAGGAGTTGGAGGGAAGACACCCACACATTCCTTCTTTGATTAAAGTGTGCGTGAGGTTGTGTGCATGCCAAGGAAGGGTGGTAAACTCTTATAACCTCTCCGAAAGGTCACAGGAATTAGCAGTATGGAAAAGGACTAGCTTTACAAATGATTAAATTACCTAACAAAATTAAAACACACTGCATGCAGAAAAGACTTAATGCATGAAGCCATAGTGGAAAGCAATCGGTCAGAATAAATCTGAACATAACATAACATACTGAAATGGAAATATACTCTTTTTAAACAATTTATTGAATTTTACAAATGAAAATATTAATATTAACATTTCACCCATTTATAACAAAATTCTAAATATCAAAATATATAATATATATAATATCATATAATATTAATATGATATACATTTTTTTATCAAATAGTTAATAGTATATTTCCATTTCAGCATTTTTTATTTAACATATTATATTATAGTATATTAAATAAAATCAGGGGCCCCAAAAAGTATTTGGACATTTAAAATATTTTGATGCAATGCAAATGCAATGACTGTTAACCAGACGGTCCCAAGGTGATTTTTAGTAGATGCATTAAGTCAGTTCCTCTCATTCATACACTTCTAAGAGTAGCCTAAGTGGCTTAAGGGAAGCTTTATTAATTACTTTGTTTATCCGTGTCAGCCGAGGAGAAGGGGTGGGAGCAGAGATAAGGACAGCTGTTGTCTCCACCCTGACTTCTCTGTGTCCACTGTTCTTGCGCTGCCGTACCAGTCTCTCCTCGCTGGACTGGGTCTCCTGGGCTTTAAGCCCATAGTAATTTTCAGCAGAAATGCTGGCTAACAAACTTGCAGAGTCTGAGAACGTAGGCTCATCATCTGACACCTGTAATTTCTCCAGCTCCTTGTTGATCTTCTGCAAGTCTGCAACGGCCAAGCCAGTTTTGTCCTGCTCTGCACGGTTCAGCCCAGAGCACAGATTAAGGATAGTCTCCAGACGCTGACGTTCCTATGGATCAGACAGAGAAAGTATGAAAAAAATGCATATTCAGACACGTGCAGCATCAAAACTCACAATCAGACAGCTGGAGGGAATAATACATTTGGAAACCTTTCTCACCTTTGAAATGCAAACAGATTTACCTGCAGCAGTTCGGAACATGTTTGTTATTTGGAGAAAACTCTCATGCAGACATTTCACACTAATAGCCCATGGGTAACTTAAAGAACATTATTGCCATTTCTTCTAACATTATCAAGAAGGTTCAATATACAAACATCTTTGATTCCATCCATTTACATGAAAAAAGGTGCAAAAGCACTCTTGACAGCCCCAAATTGCGATCAGAGAAAGACCAGATGAAGTCTACCAGACATATACATCCAAAAACAACCCTGGCTCATGAAGGAGTGCACTTGACTTGAAACCCCCCCCCCTGTATTTATCGACTGATATAGAAATGCAAACAGCAAGTTCAGGCGAGCATTTCCAAAGCCAAGAAAAATTCTCTCACAGGTTCATGTAGCTGAGAATGAACAACCTGACCTGCATCACAGGCATATTAACAGTTATTAAATCTATAATCAAGATATTTCCTTGTAAATCGAAACCTAGTCCATAACACAAGCCCAGCATTTTTTATGCATTCACACGGCCCTTTTCTTCAGAGGGTTCTACTCACCATATCAACGGATCCAGAGGTCAGAGGACACATGGTGACCTCCACCTCACAGGAGGAGATCATGACCTCATCAAAAAAATGCCAGGTTAAGTTACATTTCTTAGCACAGCAAGTACAAATTACTGAGAGACATGAACTCATCTTCAGTGCCACATCAAGCTGGTGACAGAAACACAAACCCTCTGATGGGAAGTTGATGAGTCGGTAGGAAGGGAGATTGCAAATGGGAGAGAGAGAGAGAGAGAGAGAGAGAGAGAGAGGGAGCTCTCAGAAACTGGGCAGAGAGTGAAACTAGACCCAATAAAAACACTACTGGCACTGGACAGGAAAGGATATAGAAATAGGAGCAGCGTGATTCAATCCTTCCGCTTTTATTCATGACACACTACCAGCCCCAGTGCATGAGCGAAGGGGAAAACTTCAATGGATCCCCTCCTATAATCCTAATAAATTTACAAAAACTCTCTGTATCAGTGATGGGATTGATCTGTCAAATGATAGTTATTGCCTTGCAGTGTATTTATTCTCGAAAATATAAACATGTTACTAAATAGTTTCAATTGATTTTTATTTCTCTTTATTCTTAGTACATAAACTTATTTCAGTTAGTTGCTTAGTAAACATTTAACATTTTCTAGTTTAAGTTTTTCTTCTAATAATTGTATTTTATTTCAATTAACAAAAATGTTTTTAATAGTTACAATTTAGAGCTTAGCATAGCACTAACAGGTAATGAAAATTTCTAGCTAGAACAAGCAAATACAAATTTAATAGCACTACATTTGTGATCAGGCATTCAGGAACTGGAACAGGATCTTCCATGGGGAAAAAAGCGGGCAAAAAAAGCATCTATGTGCACTTACAGCCATTCAAAGTAATTGGCAAAGCAATTCATATCTTTGCGAGCAACATATACATTACCAGTAAATATATAAATGGATATCAAATGTATGAAATTAACTTTTTCACACAGATTTTTTCCAATGCTGCTGCCATTTGGAAATGCTATTGGATAGTTTTCTCCCAAAATTTTTGACCTCATTGGGCTCTGAAACAGAAAAAACAAAACAACACATGCTACACAACTGTGTCTTCATGAAATGAGTGTGAGTTTTCTGGACATGTACAACCATGGCTAAAGTCTGTAATAATATGTTTTTAAAGAAACCCAGTGAAAGTCTATGTGTGGATATATTTCTCCACCTGTAGCGGCCTTGTTTTCACTCAGTGCTGGCCTTGTAAAGATCACCAGCCTGTAGTTGTGGTGCTAACTAATGAGTGGGCGACCTACGATGATGGTTTAGCCTCTGCCCAGCAGGGCGGCACCACAGGTGGCCTCCCTTAACCACAGCGTACAAAAACTCTGTTGCCTTTCATTTGAATCCCATTGAGAGCAGCTGAGAAGCAAGAATGGGGCATGTTAGCATGGGCAATTTGCCAGGATCATCTGCAGCTGTGGGCAGCCTCCCAGAGAGAGTATTTTCGAGAGGCCGGGTTCAATAAAAGTGGATGTGGTTCTGGGCTGTCGAGCTGTCTATTAATAGGAGGTTTAAGCAGCCACACCTCTGCAAGGGTCTTCCACCACATCCACTACAGAGAACCAGAGGGGCCTTCCTGCACATAGTTTGTTTGTTATAGCCAGTTGAAATGCCAGAGTGCAAGTTTGGCAGGAAGATTAATTAAGCTGCAGGTGGGGTCCCCCATATCTGAGCTCCCACAAGATCCCATGTTGCAAGAAAAGTTGAAATATCACCAGCTTTTAATGTGATACCCCTTCAAAATGAGAAAAGAAAACAGGGTAATGGAGGAGGAATTTTAAATATTCTAGATGAAATCAATCAAAGTCATTAGTTTTTTTTTAATATTGGGTGAGTCTAAAGAAGAAATGATATGCTTATAAAAAAAATTAACATAAAAATAAAACAGATGACTGGACATGCAGATGTTTGAATTCTATAATGTTTTGTATATTTTGTGTTAAAGTCAACATGAAACAGAATTTAAAACCCATTTTACTTATGAAATGTGACATTTTGAGCTAACTAGGAGATTTGATGAGAAAAGCGTAGGGTGGGATTTGAGTAATTGGGAATTGATTAGATTAGAAAGGTATGGCAGTCATAACTTAATTAAATCAACTAAAACGAATTGCCAGTAAGTTACAGTTACCTATCATCAAGAGCTTATAAAGACTGCAGTACATACAAATAGTAGTAAATACAAATTTGGCTATTGGTTTATTTTAATGCACCTAGCCTAGGTGACATCAGCAGAAAAGGAAAGTCATTTTGGAGGCGGAGCAAGTTCTTGCATTTGAACATGATACCAGGAACATTTACAAAAAGTAAAAACTGAACAGCTATGATGTAATCAAAGTAGTGGCAGATATTTTCTTCCATATCGGGATGTACAACGGAGTTAAACGGATTATCAAAAAAATGAAGGGTGGGATCTTGGTTCAGACTTTTGGTTGTTGATTGGATGAAGGCAGATCTGAATGCGAGCTTGCAGTCAATCGTAAGGGGGCGAGGTTTAAGAGGACAACAAAGTCCTGCATAAGTCACCAAAGAAGCTTGTTGTTTAACTGTAAGGTCAAAACATGCATTTAGAAAAATGAATTGGGGGAATTTTCATTTCATGCTGACTTTAAAGCAATACATGCACAACATAAAGTCATTAAAGTCTCTCACCAGTCGCTCCACTTCCTGTTCCCGCAGTCTTTCGTCCCTCTGTCTCTGATGGTAGTCTTGAAGCTCTTCCTTTCCGCTGAGAGAGCTGATGCTGCCCTTTCTCTCCCTGAAGCCACTCGGCGAACCCAGCCCTGCCTTTCCAAATGACAGCCTCCTCTCCCCGAGACCAGTCTCCAGACCTGGCGAGGGACCACGCATGGCTTGCCTGTCCAGTTCTGAGTAACAGCTGATGGATGTCAAACTCACCTTCTTGGCCTGGCGGGGGCTGGTGGCTTCTCCCGATATCATGGTGACATCCGGAGGGGCTACGGTGTGTTTGGTAACAGGTCTGTTGGACAGCGAGATGGAGACTACCTCAGAATGACCATTCTGGTGGCTAGCACCAGTTGGACGAGAAAGCTGGCTGTCAGGAGACCGATAACTTGGCAGGAGGGTAAGCTGACTGTCGGCAGGTCGATAGAGGCGTGGTAGGGAGCGACTGTGCGAGCTCATGCCTGTAAGTGACCCAGCAGAGTAATTTCGTTGCCGTGGAGCGGGTTCAAGTCCTCCATTACGGCCTGCATCTGGGGTGTTGAATCTACGAGACAGACGGGGACTAGATGGCATGCTGGCTGCACCACTACCGCCCACTGGTGTTGGAGGGAGGGAATCAGTTGCACCGGTGGATGAGCCGTTCCACATCAAGAGAGCTGAGCATGAGGTCCCAGCACGGCGACTGTCTGATGTATTGAGGAGCAGGCTATCCTGAGATTGGTTCCGGGTCATGGGTCGAGAATAAGGAAGTGATGTGTCACGCTCTCGAGGGTCAGAACGGCGAGGAGATGGAGGCATGCCGCTGGACGAATGTCCTGGCACTTTGGCCGCAAGTGGTGGCCTTTCGGAGCTGTACAATCGGCGGGTTTGTTCTTGATAGGATATTGGGGAGGACGTGATGATGGGTGACAGCAAATTGGGTGTGGTGGGAGGAGACTGTGTCACGCTGAAGTAGGAGGGGCTTGAATCCCCATTGGCTCGCAAGCTGTTCTCCAATGCCTGCTTCTTTTTTTGTAAAGTGTCCATCAAATCCCGCAGTTCGGAAACGGAGCGCATCCCTCTAGAGCCAGAGCCACCCAGACAATGACTGAAGTCACTGCTGAACTTCAGATAATCTAAAAATAAACACAAGAAAGGTTCTTCAGAAGTTTATTACTAGCAGCTTCTTTTTTGAAAAGGTCAGACTATTACAAGCATGAGAAAGTGGTTACGAGGAGTTATATAACTGTCTGCTTGGCCCTTGTTAACTCCTGGAATTGCTTTAATTGTTTGCAGGAGTATGGGGAGCTCGGACTGCTGTACCTGAGACTCGTTTGACCTGCAACGACCTGGAACCAAAAGATCATCAGTTTTCCCTCAGGAACCAATAAATATGGCCTGTCTACCTTGCTGTCCAAGTATTCAACATGGCATATTACAGCTTAAACTAACACACACCTAGACAGTTAAGACATTTTCTAAAGGCCTAGAATGTTCAAGAAACAGAAACTGGCCAAAGTCTACACTACACAAAATATTGCACAATGAGGTGACAAAAAAAACTTAATTTGTTTAACTTTTAAAATAACTGTATATGATTCAGCACAGGCTAGGAAGAGAGTGGACAAAAGACGTCCATGTTTAATTTGGCCTCTATGTCTGCTCTACTATCTCCCTTCTTCACAGACACAATTTTCTCATCTGCTTTCTGGGTGAGAGGTAAGCTTCACTCCGCCACATTTTCTAAAGGCCTAGAATGTTCAAGAAACAGAAACTGGCCAAAGTCTACACTACGCAAAATATTGCACAATGAGGTGACAAAAAAAAACTTAATTTGTTTAACTTTTAAAATAACTGTATATGATTCAGCACAGGCTAGGAAGAGAGTGGACAAAAGACGTCCATGTTTAATTTGGCCTCTATGTCTGCTCTACTATCTCCCTTCTTCACAGACACAATTTTCTCATCTGCTTTCTGGGTGAGAGGTAAGCTTCACTCCGCCATGTGCCAAGACAGCAAAGATCAAAGAAATCCAACTTCAGATGACTGACGTGAATGCTCATAAAACACATAAACCTGCACATGCCAAGAAAAATCCCTTTATCTCTTTAAGGTGCATGTGTGCGTACATTAGGCTGAAGCAGAACTTAAATCATGAAAGAATCTCTCACGTGAAGGTAACGAAGGAAATAGAGCAGAAACTGAAGGATATATCACAAGGATGGCAGGGTTAAAGGAAAGGCATGTGAGATCACACAAACTTTGACCATACATGGGGAGGTTCTTCTGGCTAACCATTTAGCGACAAGCTTCAATTTATATGGCTACTGATGCATGCTGGTGTATATACCACACTGTTAAGGCCCTCACCCCATAAACTAACTAGACAACAACGTAAGGGTTAAAGTTTAACTTATATCAGTATACTGAGCATGGTGAGGTCCAGAGTGTGTGTTTTTCCCAGGTTTGCTATGTACAATGCACTTTGAGTGAGTGGGTGCAGATTTGTTTATGTGAAGATTCATTCCTGGAGTCTAGCAACACAGTGTGAGTGAGAGAAAGACTGAGAGGAGGTGGCAATCATTTATGTCACTCTCTACACCTCACTCAAAATGTTCAATCAATCAACAGGGAGAATCCAATCCACATCTGTGTACAGATCACACATTCCACGAGACAGACTGGTTCACTGAGTGCATGTGGGTTTACTTAGATATAGGCTACTCTAAGTTAAATCGGGCAAAACACACTTGTGGATGTACTCAACGGTAAAAGTCATTCATATAGATATATACATTTAAATGATTTTTTTAGGGTTTGGGTTTGAGTTAGTCCAGCAATTCATCCCCTCAGAATTATAAGGTTCTATTTGACATTTTTGTGAAAATTTATTTTATTCACATATTTGTTATCTGTGCCAACTTATTTACATCATGTGATGTTTTTTTAAAAGTTGTGTACATTTTTTCAAACATGGAATGCTGAGAAACTCAGTATCTCAAAACTGCACAGAATGCAGATAGAACCTTATAAATTCCAAGGTGCCAAATTGTAATTAACCTAATTTTAAAAAAATTATGAAAGTTATTCATTAATGCTTTATTTGTGGCACTGACCTGTTAGGGCCAGACTCCTGGGCCCGGGGTAGAGCTCAAGGCTTGGAATCAGAAATAGATTCCTTTAAGGGAATACGACCAAGAGCCTAGAATCATAATGGTCTTGGCCTGTCACACAGGGGCTACCGCACGCTTCTCTTTGCATGTGCTGAAGGAACTGTCTCAACAGACCCTTAGGGCTCGACCTGCAGCATGATTGTAAAATCAGAGGGGTAAGCATACTGCAAGCTAGCCAAACACTCGTGAAGCAAGTGTTTGCGTGAAGAAAAACGGCCTCTTCCATTCCTTCTCAATCTTTATATGAAAAAACAGGAAGAAAGGAAGGCTCACCTGAGCTGGAGGGTTTATGGCCAGAAAAATAACGTTCATCGAGATATTTCGCGACGTCACTTTTTCACCCGCTTCACGGCAAGTAAAGCCTCGCCGTGGCGCGATCCATAATTTCCAAAAGCTCATCATACGCAGGGCAGGAGAATTGGGAAGGCTCAGCCTCAGCTTCTTTGCCCTCCTCAGCTATTTCCTGCTTTTGCTAAGCAGCAACGGCCCCTGAATCAGACAATGTTAATGAAATAACATCATCCTCCAGCGGCTCACTCTCGTGCACAGCCGACGATCACGAAAGGGAAACCCCCCTTCAAACTCATCGGCCAGATCCACCTGTGATCCCCACGAGCTCATTCCCTTCTGTGCCTCAGCAGCGGTGGGTCCTGGATTGCGGGAAGCAGATGGCTGCCCCTCTTTCCTCGAAAAGAGAGACAAACGAGAGCGGAGGTTTGTTTATTTATTTATTTTTTCTTGGAAAAAACACTCGCAGTGCACGCCGATTGCCCCCTCGGAGACATCGCGTGCGTGCTCTTTGCCCAAACAAAACAACGTATAGATCGTGTGTGTCATCAGATGTTAAACAACGTCAACACGGATGCACACATCCTTAAATGCTTTGCTAGTGCTCGCCATAATGAGATAAATGGAGATCGCTCTTACCACAGAAATGCACGCTTCAAACAAAACAGTCAATGAAGACGAAGAAGAGAATGATGTGTAGCTCCCGGCGCCTATTTATACTATAGTCGCACCGGTAGTGACGTCATGGCTGTCGCCGGCCAACGAGTTGGTGTTTTTTTCAATGTATGCTTCAGACACGGGTCACGACGAGGCGCTCCCCATAGCGACCCCTAGAGGACGCAGTTCGAAGTTCCCATGAAAGGGAACTTTTACAACACAGAGGAGGCATAAATCTATATTAAATTTTTGAATATAGAAAAAGGAAACAAAAAAAAAATCTGAAATTATAAAAGGAAAATATATAAACACTCACGAGGCATAAAGGCATGTGCACCAGATAAATAATGTACATAATATTGTTGGGGAAAAAACATATTTAAAAACAAATATATATTTTTAAATCTGATACTAGGGACTGAGATGGGTCAGGGCTGCCTTATTTTACAACGGCTTTCAAGTGGCATTTTTATACAGAAATTGTAGCAGAGATTGCTCCGAGCAGATTTAACTTGGCTGTGTAAAGAATCCTTGTCTGTAAAGTAGACATTTAACACTCTTAAAAGAATTCTGCTACATCAAAGGTTTAGAGGATCCTATTTCAGACTGCAAAAGAGCTGTGGCAGATAACTGAAACCATGTATCACACACACACACACACACACACACACACAAGACAAAGAAGATCCTCCATAGATGTTGAGCTGGTGTGTTGTGATATGGGATACAGGCCGTGTGTGTGTACAAAAGATCAGAGGTTTCAGTTCTTGAGGGGGTTTGGGTGCATAAGATGGATAGTTAAAGAAGAAAGATGAAGAGCATGAAGAGAAGAGGATGTTAAGATAATTTGGAAGACAGAAAGGTTACCTGTGCTGTACACCAGTGGAGAGACGGGGCTCTTCTGAGGCAGCATGCTTTTCATACGGTTGGCCTCCTCAGGATGGTTAAAGCGAAAGATATAAGATTTACCCAAACAGAGTGTGTAACCTGCAGAGAGAGGAAAGTAAACACACACTTGGATCAATCTGAGAAAGACCAGATTAGTGTTAATGTCACTCAAGTTCATAGTCCACTGAAACACAGAGCACTATTAGACACCAGGGAAGCTGAAATATAAAATAACACTGAAATCCTCTAAACAACACTGAACCCTAGATGGTTCACTTTAAAATAATCTTTCAACCTCATAATTCAATTACTCTGGTTATCAGTCAGCATGGCTGCCAATTCTGAATAAGAAAAGCTTGTTTCACCATAAAAGCTGATTTATACATCAGTTTTTCCTTATTGCCTCTTAGTAGACTGCTACATCCTGAGGGTCTGGGTCTGCTCTTTCCACTAATCTGAAATCAGAGACCACAGAACGACAGATGGATGCAAGCCCGGAAAAAAGTAATTGAAAGCTGAATAACAGCTCATGGAAAATATGCAGAACCTCTTTTTCCTCCTCAGTGAAACCCCAAAATATTTGCCTCAGTGGTCTTTTCGATAGATGTGAAGATCTAAGACAGGGGTAGGCAAGTTCGGTTCTAGAGAGTCGCAGTCCTGCAGAGCTCAGCTCCAACCCTAATCAAACACACCTGAACAAGCTAATCAATGTCTCCAGGATTACTAAGGCTATAGGCAGGTGAGGTTTTTTTTCAGGGTTGGAGCTGAACTCTGCAGGACTGTGGCTCTCTAGGCCTGAACTTGCCTACCCCTGATCTAAGCTGAGCTAGTGTGAGCAAAAACAATTCCATCAAAACAAGAATTTTGAATGGGAACTGCCTGTAAAGTATCAGTGGATTCAATGAATGAGCAGCTTTACAGAAGCCTAATGAAATAAACTTCCAGCCCAGCTGTGCAAAAATAATCTCTACACTGTAAAAAAAAAAAAGATATTTATATATTACTTTAACTCATCTAAATTATTCAACAAACTTCAACTTCATTTTATTTTTTGAGTTAAACATGCTCAAAAATGATCTGAAATGACCAAAATTTAACTGAACTTTTAAGTTAAACTAGATAGATTTTATTACAGTGCATAAGTTTGTCCAGCACTTTTTACTCTGTGATGGAACCACATGCTACAAAGATGAATTCTCTAAACATCCAGTCATGTGTCACTAACATGCCAAACCCTTGACATACAGTCTCCTGTCTCAAACATTCCAGGGTTTGGTACACTGGCAGAACATTTCTTCAAAGCTTTCTCTGGACTTCCCTTTAATGTATCACAGAACAGACAAATACAGCTTGAGCTGCGGGATGTGCTGATTTCATAACAACACATGGACACAATGTGCAGGAAAATGAAACCCCGAGTCAGTCAACACACTTCCATAGGCATAACACGTCCAGAGAAACACTCGTGAAACAGAAACATAAACAGGCACACGTGTGCGTGCGTACACACTCATAAGTATTTAGTCTACACAGCTGTGCTCCTAAGGCTAAATAAATACACTTTCAAAAGAACAAAGTTGTACACATCTAAGCTTGGCACCCAAGGTGACTGTATTGCAATTCTGTTTCATGTACTTCAATACAGAACACATTTGTGTAGGTTCATAAAAATGTTTCCAAGACTTTCATAAAAGAGTTTACACTTGTAGTTTATTACAAGTCTTTTCCTGCCCTTCTGCCCCACAAATGAATCCACAAACACAGCTGCTTCATCTTATAAACTCTCTCTTCTAAAGTCAGGCTTGGATTAAAAATAAGATTCCTTTGATCGCATAATCAAATGTGCATGTTACTTTATGAACAGTTCCCTGCTCAAATTATTGGATTAATCCAGTACCACAAGGAAACAATCTTCTGGTACAATAAAAACATTTAATATATCTGTTTAGTGCTATAAATTAGAGGGGAGAAATAGTTAAGATCATAGCACGGATATTAGGTAAATGTTATTTGATAGTTAAGAAGAAAATCATATCTGGCCTTTTGCTCAGAAAAACATGATGGTCACAGTTTGTGTGCTGACATGTGCAAACACTAAGAAAAAACAATCACATAATACAAACAACCATATGGTACTCTAAAACAATTAGAGGAAAGTTAAGTCATAATATGCATGCATCAAAACCACTGATCTTCATTATTTTAAAAGAATGCCCCCTACATGCATATCATTTTAATTACAATGAAATTGGTGTAGCATAATTACATAATTATTTACAAATATTTAACTATCTTTAAAATTTGATTACCAAATCTAAATGATTTAAAAATATTTTACTGTTACAACCCTGACGGAGTGTAATAAGTTGCAGCAACAGCAGTCTTTGTACTTGACAATCATTTACATTCAGAGATAAGCTGTGGATTTCTAAACTACTTGTTATTTTTTTTAACAGAAAATGTGAGAATAAAAGTTAGACAGTGCAAAAATTGGTCTTCCTCTATAGCCTTTTAAGACGTCACGCACGTCAATTAATGACCATGTTAAATATTTACTTTTAATTTAAAAATTATGAAACTATAAAATATATATATAAACCAGTCGGCTTACTCAAATAAGCGGATTAAAAAACAAAGTTTTACTAATTAAAAAATAAGTGACACTATAACATGACACAACAAAATAAGAACATTTCTGTTGTAATGTGAGCGAGCATGTAAGCGCGCGCGTCCCGGAACTGCAGCGTGGATTCAATGTGAAAGTCTAAACCACATATCCAATCAATTTGCTGAAGAAAACGATAAAAAAATTAAAGAAAACAAACCTTTCGGGAAGTCCCATTGAGCGAGTACCTCAAAGCGCGAGCGGAGTTCTGCAGTCAATTAGTGTTTGACGCGAAAGCCATGACCCGCGTGCGCTTCACTGTATGATAAACGCTCGACCGCTTCACTTTCCTCCTCTCCTCCTCTCCTGAGGTCAATGAGACTGAAGCAAACGCTCCAAACCCAACCTAAAGGGGTGGTGCTCTTACATACTCAAGGACAACATGGGAGGGAAGTCTGGCTGTTTCACTTAAGTTGTAACTCGCATTTGAAAGTAAGTCAAAGTTTTTAATGAACAGTTTCAATGATGCGTTACTATGAACATTGGTAATCTCTCGAACCTTACCCTGTTTGTTAAAGCAAACACTTGAAAAGTAAGTGAAAGAGGCGATTTAACCCCACCTCCTCCATTTTCTTTGTTTACCTACTCAGAGATGATAAAGTAGTTACCTGAGAGAAACCCCACAGAATAATCTGAGGAGAAGAAACAACCCATAACATGCAGATACTAGAATCAAATCGGTAACACTTTATTTCGATAGTCCACTTTAGACATTCTATTAACAGTAAGTAACTTTGCAACTACATGTCAACTATCAGTTAGTAGAGTAGTTGACTGTCTGCTTAATATCGTCTAACACTTTCTGTCAACTTATTCTACTAACCCTAAACCTACCCTAACAGTCTATTCTGAGAGTTAGTAGACATGTAGATGCAAATTAATGAGAATTAGTTGACATGTAGTTGACATGTAGTTACAAAGTTACTTATAGTTAGTAGAATGTCTAAAGTGGACTATCGAAATAAAGTGTAACCATCAAATCAAGTTTATATGCACTTTTCCCAAGATATTTGTACAGCCCTCTACAGGATTTGTCTATTGAGTAATAATTTGTGCAACTCTGACTGAAACCAGTTGAAATCCATTTTTCCTCTTGCACAAGACTGAGCATAATCTTGTTCAGTTTTCTGACCTCTCCACATCACATTGTGGATGCCTGCACAAAACTGCCAGCGTTCATCAATCATGATGCTGTAGACAATGAGAAATCTGATTTCAGTCTGGCTCAAAAGTCAATAGTATGTAAAAGGTATATAAAAAGATGTATAAAATTGGACATGTTTTTAATTTTTTTAATGACAAAGACCACCAAAATATGATAAAACCGACCCCCTTTCTAAAATATTAAGGCATCTATTTATGTTGCATCTGTCATCTGTATATAGACCCATTTATACTTTGAAAAAAGTGTAAGATAAGATATAGTTTCTGATATTAATTTGTTTGAATTATTAATAAAAATATATTATTAGACTACGAGAGAAATATTTTAATTTTAATTAAATTTGTATATCACATTTCATAGTAAATACTGTTCTTAGAAAGTGCAATATTTTATATAGATATTATTAATTAATATTCTCTCAGAGCCAGAGTAGAATTTCTGCTGTTTACATACCAGACACCTTAGTCAGGATTAGATAACTACACAACAGACTCACATAGTCTGGAACAGTATAATAGTAGATTAGTCTGACACCAATCAAAGAATTTGCCAATCAAATGAAGTTTTGCAATTGCCTGGGTCGAAGTGACGACACTTGTTGCATCACAATGAGTGTGAGGAGGTGGAACAAACCTCTAACTGAGCTCTGCTGATTATTACCAGCGCTGTAGCTCACGTGCTCTCAGTTTTTAATCTAATTGACTCAAAGCATTTAGAGTCAGGGGAGGTTAGCCTCAAATATGCCTTTATTTCTTATTGAAAGAATATCCTTTTATAACTAGCATGTGGCTTCTTTTTGCAGATGTATAAAATTAGTTCCTTCAAAACTGCATGGTCTCTCTGTAGTTTTCTAAAAGCATTCGAAAACAAAAAGAAATTTGGTTTCATTTGCATCACAGTCGTGCCTATTGGCAGTTCCTCCCACAGAAACAAAGACAGAAGCGGAGGACACATTTCTCAGTCCCGCCAATATTTGCACTTCATGACTGAAAAGTGTCAGAATAAGTCTGGTAAATATTTATCTGACTTGCTCTCACTGAGATATAAAAGAAAATAAGCATAGAGAATGATGGATCGTTCGTTGAGGAACTCAGTGAGGCTAAAGAATGCAGGAATTATGGGAAAATACAACCTTGGGGAAGAAAAGCTGAGCTCGGTAGCTCACTCTAACACTTCTGGAAGCTCTGAGTCACAGCGTCGCATTAAGAAAAGATCCAAAACCACTCTAATTAAACTCAGTGTGACGTCCAAAACCAAGACCCTGCTGGAAAGACACATTATGCATTTCCAATACATAATGCACTTCATTCCCAGGTCATAAACCTCTTTCCCTTTTCATTTACTCAGACACTGTTTTCCAAAGTAAACAAACAAAAACATGCATGCGGTAAATGCATTTTCAGTGAAGCGCTATCATTCCTATTGTGGTTACCTTGCGTAAGTTGTGTGGGTCTGGTAACAGGAACTCCATCGAGTGAACACAGGTGTCTGCATGGGTCAAGAGTGACGACCCCTCCTCTGTTCTCAATCCTGCAGTGTTCGGCTTCAATGCCGGGACCCTCAATAGTGATGTCCTGAGGTTCAGGGGCATCATCACGACCAATGCGTGTCACTCCTGTAATAAAAAGTAATTCAATTTGTAACTGTAAGTGCAAGCTTTTAGTGCCGCTGTGAGTTTGATTTAAATTAATGTTGGCGGTAAGAAATGCAAGACTGTAAATGCATATGTCTGCAATGTGATTATCTATATTTAATCAGTTCATCCATAAATCCTGCATATTGTGCTACAGTTAGTTCAGCCGACAGGTTTATTCAGTGCCAAAAAATTCTCACCAACTGTAAGGCTTTACATTTTTACCTCATGGGGCCTATTAAATTGAATTTTGATGAAAATGTTGACTTGAAATAGGCTTTTAGAGTTGTCAGTGATTTACAAGCAGAGGCGGACAGTAACTAAGTACATTTACTTGAGTATTGTACTTAAGTACACTTTTTGAGTATCTGTACTTTACTTGAGTATTATTTTTTCTGGGAACTTATGACTTTAACTTCACTACATTTGAAAGACAAATATTGTACTTTTCACTCCACTACATTTCTATCAAGGTCCTCGAAGTAGAAAGTCGTTAGCAGCTTTGAAAGTCAGGGGGTGATTTCTTTCTTCTCTAAAAACTATTTTTTTCAGACAGTTTATCAGTAATCACTCTTGTAGGGCTACATGAAGTGATTTCCCAGCATTTTTTGAACACTGACCAGTTCCAAATGTGATATTTATTTACAAAAATTAAATAATAAGAAATTAATATTGTGGTATATATTAGACACGATATTGTCTGATTTTGCTAAATTGTGTAAGTGAAAATATTAGCTATAAAGCCACAGAAGAACTGTTGTGCATCTCCTAATAAAACACAATAGGTGTTGGACTTGAAGCAGCACTGCATAGACTGTTCTGTGTGTGACACCAAAGTACCGCGAGAGTGATTAGACCGCATTAAAAAAAAAATTTTTTTGATGTCAAATAAGTCTTGCTGTTTTGCTTTTTTGTTAAAGCAGTGCTGCTGTTGTAAAGTTATACAGCTATAGTTTTGTTGCTGGGTTTTGCAGGTTTGATTTTTCTTTCTTTCTTATCACTCTGTATTTACAGGATTTCACTGTCCACTCTGTTCAAATGTGGATGAATGGCTACACATAGATGTGTGCACACTGTCAGAGCTGTGTGAGATCACTACCATCCTGCTTTTGTGGGGGTGGGTAGGGGTGTTAATTTTTTTCCCCCATAGGTTTTTAACATTCTAAAAGCTCTTTATTCCAAAGATCCTACAAGCTAGTCAATGTATTGTAAGTTGCTTCAGAAGTATTGCAAGTATTACAAACAACAATAAAACAGTGCATTGACATAAAAAAGGAAATTTACTTTTGGTACTTAAGTACTTTTAAAAGCAAGTACTTCTGTACTTTTACTTAAGTAAAAATCTGTCTTTACAACTTTTACTTGTAATGGAGTAATATTTGACCAGCAGTATCTGTACTTTCACTCAAGTAATGGAGTTGAGTACTTTGTCTGCCTCTGTTTACAAGCAATGTTAAGGTAAACCGTGGCTAAGGCTCTAGACTAAACATTATTAGGGAAAAATATTCTAGGTGTCTATTTGGGGTATATTTAGTTGTATTTTATGCATTTTGTTTAAAAAAAAAAACCTTATTGTTTAAACATGGTATAGTCTAAAAAAAGTTTTTGAATATTTTTTTATTTCAATATGTTTTGTTTATTTGATTTAAAAACTATATTTTTTATAACAATTAAATAAATAATTCTTCATAATAATTTAAATAAAACTGTGTTGTGAATATATATTTTTAATTACATGGTGTCATATGAACAACCAGTCAGTAAATAGACTCAAACCTATGACAGTACCAGCTCCCAGTTAATTTCGAATTGGACTTAGTTAGGGAGTCATTTGTGAACTATTTGTTATTGTGAAGTTATGGTTCTGAATGATTTTAACCTATGAGTTTGAAACCATTTTGTTTTTGTTTTTTTATGATTGATACAGCTCATGCTTGTGTGTTTGTTGAATGCGAGAAACCCTTGTTTGCGCTCTTGATATTTGACTAAATTTCACACAAAGTCATCTGCATTGTCTCGCTAATGGCTACTGGATTTAAAATGATCATCAATTTTTTTTTTTTTTTAGTCACAGTCTGGAGATTTGTTGCTGGCATGATGACGCACTGTTCCAAGGAATGGTGTTTGTTTCTGTTTTACATTTCCACTCTTCTCTGACCTCTGCTGGCTCACACACTCAACCAGTGACGCAAATCACCCCCTTACAGCTTTACTTAAACACCTCACAGTCTACTAACGGATATGGTCAAATATTTGCTCTTTTTATATCAAAACATAATTAGACTGCCTTGAAATAGCACGTTTAAATCTTTGTGTGTGTTCAGCACTATGGCGGTACTGTAATACTTGTGACTTTATTACTCCATCCCACTGGGAGTAAGTCAGCTTGTCTCCTTGTCCTGTCTCTATTCTGATAGGTTGCACACTTCATTTCCTGCACCATTCTCAGATTGCATTCCAGCGTTTACCATGGTGACCGTGATAAGAGGGGCGAGGAATGAGTGGGAGCCGTGTGCGCAGACATGGTGTCATTAGGACAAGCCTGACACCTGTGTGTAATCAGAGACAGGTGGACCCTTCTTGCCATTTCTATAAGGTAAATATTAAATAAGATTCTCCGGGTTCTGGCTTTACAACAGAAAATCCCCAGTCATCCACCTTCTTCCTCTATGATAACCTAAGTGCACTAACAATAAAAGCCACATGCATCCAGTGTTTCATGAAGGCACAGACAGATAGAGGGTCTTATTTACAGATCTATTCTTTGCAGGCTATTGGTCATGGTTATTTGGGTATTGTGTGAGGGAGGGAGATCAAGAGATAGGCAGAAACAAACAGAGAGAAAAAAAATCACATACCCTCCTTTAGAGGTAGTAAAGTAATGGCTACACTGAGCCTTCCGCTGCCCAGGCTGACCAGGTGAGGGGTCGCGGTTTGTACTTTCAGTCCTTTTCCTGTGTCAATCAGGTCCAGTGGCAGACTCTAAAACAGAGCATTACAGCTCAATAACAGTTCCTACCTCCAAGAAGAAAAGAACAAATGATCCACTAACCTTAGGAGAACCAAGGCTGTGATCTGACTCCAGTTCGAGGACACTCGCCGGGTTGTTTGGCTCTGTATCCTGTACCACACAAGAACAAAGAGCTGATATGTTTAAACATATTTGTTGTATAATCGTGAAAGGGCTTTACAGAGTTAACTCAGATGAGTCATCGCTGAAACGCGGTGTTTTGTTCACTTGCTCGCTGACTAAATTATCTGGTGAATCTTCTCATCAGAAACAACAAAGAGCAGATGTGCGTAAGTAAGATATTCATTTCACAGTGTAAACTGCTTCAGTGATTTTAATGGGAGTTTTTGAGAGTGCCTGAACTCTGGCTAGACTGAATGAAAATGTTCTTTGTTAATGTAAATGTTCTGTGCTCTCTGTAAAATGAAAGTGTTATAATTAGTAACTTACAATATTGTTATTAAATTCACATTAAATACAAAGTCAGTCGTATTAAAAAATATTTTATGGCATGACACCCATATCTGGTATAAAAAGTCGGGTTTTTATGTGTAGTTAATAGATTACACTATTAGTCTACTTTGCCCATCACCATTTATTGATCAAATAACATAATCTATAAAGGTGCAAAACGCATTTACTTACACATATTTGAGAATCGAGATATTTCCTGATATAGTTTGCACGTCTGGAAATATTTTGAATAAAAAGGGGGGAATAAAGAAAGGTTACACTTTATTTCGATAGTCCACTTTAGACATTCTATTAACTATAAGTAACTTTGTAACTACATGTCAACTACATGTCAACTAATTCTCATTAATTTGCATCTACATGTCTACTAACTCTCAGAGTAGACTGTTAGGGTAGGTTTAGGGTTAGTAGAATAAGTTGACAAAGAAAGTGTTAGAAGATATTAAGCAGACAGTCTACTAATACTCTACTAACTGCTAGTTGACATGTAGTTGCAAAGTTAGTTACTGTTAATTGAATGTCTAAAGTGGACTATCGAAATAAAGTATTACCAAAAGAAAAAAAAACTAAACATAAGCCTACATCAGTTATACTGCTATCTTATAACTGATATAACCCCCCCCCGCCCCGTGCCCCCTCAAAAATCATGAGTGCATGACGCCCCTGTCCATAATGAATACTAAATGGGTATGGAAAGGCATGAATGTAAATTAAGTAAAGACAAGAATTACATTTTTGGGTAATTAACTCATTAAAATGACCCAAATAAGTTGTAATCCATTGTCCTTTCACTATGTCTGTTTAGAAAATTATTCTTAAATATTTACTCCAACATGATGGTTTAGATCATGTAAAGCCAACATTAGCAAACAATTGCTGGTTATCTGTCAGTTCTAGTTTGAACACCACTGAGTGAAACCAGATAAGAAAAAAGCTATTATGTTTAATGGCACTCCAGTAACAAGACACTCACAAACAGCCCCTGAGGGCCATAAACATCAGAGCGAACATACTCACACTCTCTAATCCAGCTTCCACACGTAACATACTGTAGGTTCGAATGTGTGTGAAAACGATCCCAAAGGAGAAAAAAACAGAGTGGGAGGAAAAGGCAGGAATGTTCCATGCCTATTATTTCCCACGAGTCACTGGGAGTGTTTGGCATGCCATGCCAGTGGAGATGTAGTGAGAAATGGCCCTTGCTTTGGTCCTGCCATCCCAGAGTTGCAGTTACCATAGAGAGGGTCCCATGTGCATTTCTGCTAACCCTGCTCACCCACACAGATACACACATTATATACTGTATATATATATATATATATATATATAGAGCGAGAGAGAGATGCTGCAAAAATTATTTGGACACTTAAGACACAGTTAAACTAATATTTTCACTGCATTAGAAACAAAATATCAAACCAAGTGGTTACAAATCCAAAATGCTGCTGGACTGCAGAACTGGCTCCAAAAATATTTTTAGGGAGGTCAGTTTGACTCAATTTCCATAATTTAATCCCCTTGTTTTTTGTAAAAGATTTTGCTTCAGAAGTGTTCTTGTGCTATCTTTCTTTAAAATAAAAATTATATTTTGTTATATCTTGCAATGACAGTCATGCATTTTAAGTGTTTCTCAAGTGTCCACATACTTTTTTGGGTTCTCCAGACCTGAAAGCCTGAGAGGAACACATGACCATATACCGCCTCACGCTGTTCCTATTTCCTCTGATACAAAACTGACTTCCCGAACGAGGTCATTGCTGTTCAAACACCCTCATTTCCAATACACTCGCCAAGGTCCAATCAGAGTGCACCTACAACCATGCTTCTATAATACTGTTTATCATGTTAGTAACATGTTAGCAGTTATGCTTGTAAGTTTACACATTCCTTGCAGAATCTGTAAGATATATGATATTTAAAAGTGATCATAAAAATTGCATTTTATTTAGCACTGCCCTAATATAACTATGTGATAAAACATTTAATAAACAAACACAAAGGTAATAGGAAACATGTACAACTTTTTAGGCCTGCTTAGGTACAATACTATTGAAAAGTTTGAGGTAGGTAAATTTTTTTTATGCTTTTGAAAGAAACCTCTTATGCTCACCAAGGCTGCAATTATTTATTCAAAAATAGGTATATAATAATAATAATACAATTTAAAATAATTAAAAACCATTTAATAAAATATAATTTAAAATAGTTATTTTAAAATAATAATTTAACCATTTAAATATTTTTCTATTTTAATATATTTTAAAATGTAATTTATTCCTGTGATAACAAAGCTGAATTTTCAGTACAATTACTCCAGTCTTCAGTGTCACATGATATCAAGAAACATTTATTATTATTATCAATGCTGTGTGCTTAAGTTAAAGTAATATTTTTGTGGAAACTGATACTTTTCCCATGTTTTTTTAATGAATCAAAAGTGAAACAGTATCTTCTGTAACAATATAAATTGTAACACACATATATATATATGTTTGTCATTTTTTTGTCAATTTAATGCAACCTTGCTGAATAAAAGTAATAATTTCTTTAAAAAAAAAAAATAATAAAAAAATAAAATAAAACTTCTTACTGACCCCAAACTTTTGAATGATAGTGTATATAGACAAGGTTATTTATATAAAGAACACTATAAACTCTCTTGATTTAAAGTGAACAGAAATTAAACAGTACTGCATTCACTAATTGAAACTAAGGTTAATTTACTATTTTTTTTAAAAAGGGTCAGCTTTATTTTTTTAAAGTCCTTTAGGATATTTAAGACCCATGTCTGGCCACATCCCAAGAGGGCATTTGACAATAACACAACCTACTTTACAGCTAAACAACAACTGCACATGAACCATAAACCCCTTTGTATTAGATCAAAAGGGTGCTTCTACTAAATACTGAGCAAAGGGTCTGAATACTTAGGACCATGTGATATTTCAGTTTTTCTTTTTTAATAAATCTGCAAAAATGTCAACAATTCTGTGTTTTTCTGTCAATATGGGGTGCTGTGTGTACATTAATGAGGAAAAAAAATTAACTTAAATGATTTTAGCAAATGGCTGCAATATAACAAAGAGTGAAAAATTTAAGGGGGTCTGAATACTTTCCGTACCCACTGTATATATACATACATTCTGAACATAGCCTTAGACACAAGAAATGTCATGAATGCAGGCTTTGTAGGCTCTGAATTTATAGTGTCATGTTAAAGAGATACTATGACATGTTTGCCTTTTATTAGGGGTCATCCTCTTTTGATTAAAGGTCACACACTCGCCTCTTTAACAATATCAGCATAGAAAACCCATCTGATCTCTTAAAGGTGGTGAAGCAGCACTGCTTATTTAGTCCAGTCTGTCACATGTGACAATGATCTCATTGTGCCTGGACCTCAGCTTAATATGGGATTCCCTTCATGGCATGCAGATCATTTACGAAGGGTTGAAGCAGCCCCCTTGCTTCCCCTGGACACACTCAATGATGCAAGATCTTTTAGGTAGACAAAACCCTCTCTGTTCTGAGTTTCCTCCCCTTCTAGTCTTTCAGGCCACTGAAAATCATTATGTGGCATAAGGAGGGTGGTAATGCTGTTATGTTTAAAAATAACAATAGTTAACTATAAAGACCATAATTGCGACAGCAATTTGGAACAGTTTGCAGCGGTAGGGCAAATGTGACTTGCAGATATTTTGTTTTTCAATTAAAGGTGCAAGGAACTGAATAAATAATTGACTTGCACCATAATAATGCAAGATTCAGAAAATTGTCTGAAAAAACACATTAAGACCTTTTACATCATTAACCCCAAATTCCTAATTTAACAAATGAAAGCGTGTGGAATGTTGTTACAGCTGCATCTGGCTGCAGGAATAAGAACCGAAAGGAAATCCACATTAGGCTGCAAAACCTTACGTAATATTATTCGTACAGTTTTCCTTTAAAGCACAGATTTCTTTTACCTTATTATGTAGAGCTTTTTACACATATAGCCAATTTAAAAGGTCAGTCTATTTGAAAACTTGTTGTCGAACTTTCTATACTGTACAAGTTTATGCAGCTTATTTTAACAAAAGGTTGACATTACATTAACCAAAACCACTTGTTTATTATTAATGGTGTATAATTTTATACATGTATAATATATGTAATTTGTGTTCAGAGATTAAAGTAATGTACATTTTGTTTCAATAATATTTAATTTTATATATTTTGTATTTTAATTATGCAGCATTTATTTAATTCTATATATAAAATACTACAAATGTTAAGACAATTATTTGACATTTTACAGACATAATTACTTTTATTAGGTTTTGGATTTGGATATATATTTAGACATTATCAAAGACTGCTTCACTGTCAGACAATTTAGCCTTTTCTAATCATCCAATTTTTGTTCATATCCACCTTATTTTTCCCACAAGAGAGGATGCGGCAATTTGTAAAACGTATGGGTTTGGCTTCCAGTATTATCCGCTTCCAGCTATTTTTAGCTGTACAAAACAGCTCGTTTTGCTGCTGGATATTGCAAATTTGTGTGTCATACCATATTATTTTAATGTGTCATCTTCATTATGATCACACTGGCTTAGTGCAAACAGTTTTGCCGTTTACTGCACATTGTTATTCTTCTCATTATTTCCCTACAGCGGCTAATGAACAGGAAGTCTCGCACATTCACAGAAAACGGCTTACTTCCGTGTTGAAATATAAGGTGGACAGCAAGTGCCACAAAAGTCACTAAGTTTCATACAATTCAGATGATGGGTTTCCCCTTGGTCCATTCGCCACGGGGCCCGGTCCGACTGCACCAGTTGCACCCCCCTAAGGACGGCCCTGTTCATTGAAACTATTTAATTCCACAGAAGGTTCAATGGGGAACTCAAAATGGTTCTTCTATGGCAGGGGTCTCCAAACTCAGTCCTGGAGGGCCGTTGTACTACAGAGTTTCCTCCAGGACCAAGTTTGGAGACCCCTGTTCTATGGCATCACTGTGAAAACCCCCTTTTGAAACCAAGAGTGTATGTTTGGTCCATAGTAAATCACCTGACTCTGAGGTGTTTTTGGATGCTAACAGACCTCATGCAGATGTTTTTTCTCACTGCAGGGGTTATACTGATTGCCAGAATCATCACTCAGCACAAGTGATTATTTTCTTTGTAACATCAACAACCTGTCTGCCAATGAGAACTGTGTGAGTCAGCTGGATCACAGGTTAACACACCTGAGCCCAATTGTGTGTTGAGTGGCAGGTCCAATGTTTTCACAATCATAGCATGTGCTTCACTTACAGCATCTAGCATCGCTCTCTGTGTCTGTCCGCATGTTTATTTCTTTTCATCCCCTCACACTGACTCATGAAATAATTGCTGCTCTTATGCATGTAACTATAACAATTGTGCTCTGAGTGTCATAGACTGTTTTTACAACCATAACATCTGGTTTGAGGGTTTATGCTGTTGTTTGTGCACAGATGGGTCATTTAAGTCAAATAAAACAAAAACAATGCATAAAAAACACAATTATAAACCTCAAATTGTTTGTTTGGTTCAGTTTGATCATTCCTTGTTCAATCAGGCAGCACTGTTTAGTGAAATCGCACCTCACGGCACTGTTTGCTTTCAGGTTGTCTTAAAAGTGTCTCTGGTATTTGATGTTTACTGTATGATGCCTATCTCTCAGTTCAGGGTCATGATTCAGTGCCCATGACGAATTCAACATACAAAACACATCTAGACCCATGCCATGACTTGTGCCAAGAGTTGATCATAGATTAAGTTAAATAAATACTGTGGCCAAAAAACCATTATCAATCATATTTATCAGTATTTGGCTTACAAAACTAGACATAAGCAAAAAGGAGGAGAATTAGGGACACTTTTAAAAAGCTAATTTTCAGTTCATTTGGTATTTACATGAATCATTTGTTTAGTTTTTCTTTTAGAGAAGACTGACTGAAAGCTTTTACACTATGATAGAAGAAGAGGAATTTTAGATGTCATAACCAAACTAATCAGCCTATTTGTGATTTTTAATTGAGAAATGATTTGTGTTGTGTTAATGAGTCCAGCTTGATGAAAATGTCATTACCATCACACTTCACTATCATCAAAGGAATATTAAAAAGCCACACCATCCCATATGTGTTCAAATATATTAACATAGATGAATCATAAACTGAAAAAGATAGATTTTCCAATATTTCAAATTAATATCCCTAATTAAAAATCGCACAGTTACATATAGACAGAAACTGTGCGCTTATTTCGAATAATTAAAAGAACAGCTTTCTATTAAATAAAGTTTTACTTTAAGGATTATTTGTGCAAAACACAAGTCTCACCATTGCCGAAACGACGTCTGTCATTTTGAATGGCAGCTCCAAAGGCACAGCGCTCTTCCCCAAATATCCTTTGCGGTTCCAAATGACAGAAAGAAAAAGATCAAGCCAATTCAATATTTCTCTTTCTTTGGAAACTCCACCTCGCCGCCGACCGTTATTGATAAAGCTGAAAACAGGCACTCTGTTACAAATGATTATTTCCAAAGAAATTAAGCAAGTCCTGTGGCTCTTTGGTGACTTAAAGGCGCTGTCCTGGCGCTCTTGGCCAGCGGCGACTCCGCTGTGCTATGGAATGCACAACAGCTGGAACTAGACCGTGCGCTGATGTGCGCATGCGCACTGGAGACGGCGGCGCGTGCAGTTCAGCCAGCACTGAAAATTCGCTGGTTCTTGAGACATGGAACAACACATTCACCTGCCTTTAATTTTTAAAAGCAACAGTTCGAAATTAACCAGAGATTATTGATATTCTTAATAGGCTACGTTTTCATCTTCACTATTTATTTGATCAAAATGTTAACATTTATATTAACAGCCTATGTGTAGGCTATATATAAGTTATTATAGTCTATATAAAACTTTATATAGGTTTATTTGTTATGTGCCATTCTTGTCAGATATTTTCTGCTTTGCTGTGTGCAAAGCGTGCATTTATTTAGGCTATCACTTCCTCATTTATTTCTTCTAGTCTCTTCACTGCAGTGTCATTCCTCACATTCATCCTTTCCCTGCATCAGGGACATTGTGACTATTATTTTTTAGTGTTTTGTTTGTTATATATATATATAATGCAATATTATATGATGAGTGCAGTATTTTCTTACAAGTTTAGGCCTACTTTTCTTTGCCAGTTCTTGAATTCTGATTCGAATATATCAAACAGCCTACCAAAAAGATAAAAACGATGATAAAAATCAACCAGTTTTGTCCACTCACAATTTTTAAAAATAAGTTATTATAGTCTATATAAAACTTTATATAGGTTTATTTGTTATGTGCCATTCTTGTCAGATATTTTCTGCTTTGCTGTGTGCAAAGCGTGCATTTATTTAGGCTATCACTTCCTCATTTATTTCTTCTAGTCTCTTCACTGCAGTGTCATTCCTCACATTCATCCTTTCCCTGCATCAGGGACATTGTGACTATTATTTTTTAGTGTTTTGTTTGTTATATATATATATAATGCAATATTATATGATGAGTGCAGTATTTTCTTACAAGTTTAGGCCTACTTTTCTTTGCCAGTTCTTGAATTCTGATTCGAATATATCAAACAGCCTACCAAAAAGATACAAACGATGATAAAAATCAACCAGTTTTGTCCTCTCACAATTTTTTTTTTAAATTAAGCTGCCAAATTAAAATATCCACAGTAAGACTATTTGTTTAATTAACATACACAATCTACAATGTGTGTCATAAATTCACACCCACCGCTGTTCACACCCAACATCCAGTTTGTGATTAGAGGTCACGTGTGGCTGAAATCTTTTGGTAAACAGGATGCTCCAGTGCACGCTCATAGAGTTTTCTTTATCTCCGAAGCAGCGGCGTGTAATTACACTGCAGTTAGTGTCCTTTTATATAAGTTACTGCACTGGTGCCGACATGAAAAAAACAACAACAACCCCTTACATTCTTTCAGAATCTAGAATGAAACAAAGAGCGGGAGTGAACAAAAGGAGAGGCAAGAGTGTGAAAGAGAGGATGGAGAGAAGGAATATTGTTTGTTAAGGTCAAGACCACTGGTCTACACTTTCATGGAAAGAACAAAGAATGTCATAGTTTCAAAATGCAGCTGGTCAGGTCGCTATGCCTTGAGCTTCTCAAAATTTTGACAAGATGTTTTTTTTTTAAAGGCCTGGAATTACATATCACTGGTATAGATGGATCCAGAAGTCTGACCCCTAAAATTCAGGTATTTAAAGCGCAGGCTTTGTATTTTTTATTTTTTTGGAACTGATTGATCGTATAGGCCTCATTGATCTGAGGTGATGTATTTCAGTTTTTGAGTGAAAATTGCATAAATTATCCACAAATAATGCTTTTACCACTCTGAAGCTGAGGTGCATAAGCTAATGATCAACCAGTTCAAAAAATAAATACAAAACCTGTGCTAATTGAAAGAACATTTTGCATTATTTCTTGGTCACTAATCAAATCCGCAAATTTATGACACCATGTGAATCCTTTGTACAGACAGATGTTCTTGCTTCCATTGAAGCTCGTTAGATCATCTCAAATCATGCTGGAGAACATGATCATCAGATTTTACACAGGCTTATAGGTTTCAGAGACTTTCAATGCAAAATGAAGCATTTTTTCAACCAGTTCAAAAAATAAATACAAAACCTGTGCTAATTGAAAGAACATTTTGCATTATTTCTTGGTCACTAATCAAATCTGCAAATTTATGACACCATGTGAATCCTTTGTACAGACAGATGTTCTCGCTTCCATTGAAGCTCGTTAGATCATCTCAAATCATGCTGGAGAACATGATCATCAGATTTTACACAGGCTTATAGGTTTCAGAGACTTTCAATGCAAAATGAAGCATTTTTTGGACCCTACACTAAATGGTTCCATAAAGCCAAAAATGGTTCTTCTATGGCATCACTTGAAGAACCTTTTGAAGCACCTTTATTTTTAAGAGTGTACGGTATGTCTTCTGGTTCAAAATTTGGCTGCATTTCTCATTTGAAATTCACTATCAATATCCAAACTGAAAAACTGAAGGGGAAACATTCCCTTTGCGATATCAGTGAACAAAAACTGTGATTTTAAAGCCAAAGAGAAAGAGAGCAGCTGTGCTGATTAGATCTGTCTCTATTTTCTTTCTCTCTTTGCTTTGAGCACATAATTGTTTCTTCATTGGATTCAAATGCTCTGTGTGGACTCGTTCACATGCTCCTGATCATTATCTGATGGCTTTCCCATCCCAGAGACCACAGAAAACATTCACTGGAATGTGGACATGGTCGCAGGGGACAGCAGGTGTGGAAGATCTTGCGCTCTGAAGGGCCCCTTGATGTGCAGACGCTCACATTGTTTCTGTGAATACTGGTAAGCACATTTTTTAAATACTGAAGAGCAATAAAACAAGCTGAGATTTAGGACAAAAATACAGAAGATGATTACACGTGATTCTATTTTTTTAAAGACATTTCAGCATTTAATTTAAAGGGATTAGGTAAATCTCTCAAAGCCTTTCATGTTTGTTATGTTGTTACTGTTTGTACCGTGTTGTTACTTAAAACTATTTACTATTTTTGGTAATTTAAATAAAACTGAAATAAAATAGAATCTAAATATTAGATGAAAAAAAGGTCAAAATTAGAAATTGAACTGAAAAACTGAAATGTTATTAAAACTAAAAATGAAATAAAAATAAATATATAAAGTTATAAATAAAAAACCCTAAATACTATAATAATATATAAATAGTACTTTTTTGTATTTTATTTTTTGTATCAATAAAAATTTATAGAATGTATTTTATTAGTCAAAAAAACTACTCATTCTTATTACTTTAATGATAAAAAATGATGATATATTAATTTTAAAAAAAATTATCCACCATAGTATTTATTATACTGGCAAAATTCGGAGAAAATCGAGGCAATGGAAAATCTGTTTATTGTTGTATTGGACCGGCTGTCAAAATAAGGTTCCTGCCGTGACCGTGACCCACATCTTCCAAACACGAATAAAGACCAGCAACTGCTGATCACATCAGGTATACAAATAAGCCATTGCTAAACCACTTTAAAGTGCTGAGATATTATATAAAATATGGGGACTTTTCATGATGCAACAAAAAACTCAATGACCCTGTTAGTTCTTGCTCTGATATTGTGATATAGAATAAACATTTAACATTTTTTAAAATGGTAAAAATATTATAACTAATCATAAATAATGACATTAGTTTCTTTCAGTACATGAAGTGTAGGTGAGCAACAGCTGTTGAAAATATTACTTTTGAGTTTCAGTGAAAAAAAATGGCCAAATAGAGCTCATATGGCCATAGGTATCAATCACTTCTTGATAATCACGTTGTGACCCCCATGTCATTCCAGGTCTTTGTGGTCAGCACACCTTCAGTCTTTGTGGCGGTCACTGAAAAGGTCATGTGCCTGGCCGATCTTGAATGAGGAGGTTATTTAATTTAATTACAGTGTTTGCGAAATCCACAAGTTCTACGAAGTCGGAAGTGATGATATTGACCCCATCTACGCCTGGCTTTTGTGCCTCCACCCACATCATTATAGTTGGAAGGTTCCTGTGAGAGAAACAACAGAAGCACATGTAAGAATAGACATGTAGGATGCATAATTCAAATAAATGCTGTTCTTTTGAAATTTCTATTCATCAAAATATAATGGTTTCCAGAAAAATATTAAAGCAGCACAACTGTTCTCAATATCAATATTAATAAGAAATGTTTCTTGAGCAGCAAATCTGCATATTACACTCATTTCTGAAGGATCATGTCATTGAAAATTGGAGTAATGGCTGCTGGAAATTCAGCTTACATTTTAAACTATATTAAAATAGAAAACAGTTCTTTTAAATTGTAATAATATTACTGATTTCACTGTATTTTTGATCAAATAAATGCAGCCTTGATGAGCATAAGAGATACCAACCCCTTTTGAATGGTAGTGTATAAAATTTGCATAAACACTTGAATAATCAATGCGACAACCCTCACTTGTCTACAGGGAACTGTTCAAATATTAGCAATTACTGTGTCAGTTCTATTTCAGGTCAGCCGAGTCAGCTCCGGCTAGAAATAAACTTCCCAAACTCGGCAGTCATCTACAACAGCGGCCCGGACAAAACCAGGAAATGGGAAGCTCAGACTGCGTTTATCCTGGAATAATAAACTATCCAACTTCCACACTCGGGCAGAATTAAACAGCTTCCTCCGAGACAGTTGTCTCACTAGGATGTCTGCTAAGACCAGCACAAGGCTCCATACTTCTGTGTCGGTCAGTATATGTGCTACTCTGTCCTATTAATTCAGACAGCATAAGTTCATAGGATAGGCAATGCTCAAAAGAGCATACAATATATAGTTTGTATACTATATGTATTGCACAATATGCAGATGTTCTGTATGAACAGATCAAAAGCCAGCACTGTATTTCAACAGGCCTGGGAATTTTTATGAGGGGCGCCTTCAACTGGGGCGCCCCTCATAAAAATGAGTAGCCTGGGACCTTAGTGGACCCCCCCATTGTGTCCCTAAGAAGGGTTTGTCCTCAAGAAAGTTTCCTCAGAGCCCACTTACCAAATTCGCAGTGTTTCTGGGGCTGCCACCTAGTGGATGATTTTAACATTTTTCCCAACACACAAGCTCTCTGACTGATATCTCATTTAAATATTGAATTAGATTTTCTGCTTTTATGTTAATTTTAGTTAAAGTTTTTTTGTAATTTTATTGTTTTTGTCATTTTTATTAGTTTTTATTTTTATCATTTATTTAATAGCTTTTATTAATTTATATTTCAGTTTTAGTTATTTTAGTGCATCAAGTTAAAGTAAATTAAACTAGCTGAAATAAAAATACGCTTTTTAAAAACTTTTTTATATTTTATTTTATTTTAGGTATCAAAAATGTTCTATGGTTTTGGTTTTAGTTAATTTGAATAACCCTGATTTTTTTTAAACCAATTTTGCAGCAGTAACTGCAGGTAAAGTTTCTTGTAACTGCTGATCAGTCCTGCACAACATCTTGTATTAGTTTTAGCTCATTCCTCAATACAGAACCACTTCAACTCTGTGATGTTATAGGTTTCCTCCTATGAACCGCTTGATCCTTCCACAACATTTCAATTGAATTAAGGTCCAGACTCTGACTTGGCCATTCCAAAACATTAACTTTGTCCTTCTTTAACCATCCTTTGGTAAAATGACGTGTGTGCTTGGGGTCGTTGTCTTGCTGCATGGCCCAGTTTCTCTTGAGACTCAGTTCTCGGACAGATGTCCTGACATTTTCCTTTAGAATTTGCTGGTATAATTCAGAATTCATTGTTCCATCAATGATGGTAAGTCGTCCTGGCCCAGATGCAGCAAAACAGGCCCATACCACGATACCACCACTACCATGTTTCGCAAATGGGATGAGGTTCTTATGTTGGAATGCAGTGTGTTCTTTTCTCCAAACAGAACACTTCTCATATAAACCAAAAAAATCTATTTTGGTCTCATCTGTCCACAAAACATTTCTCCAATAGTCCTTTGGCTTGTCCACATGATCTTTAGCAAGCTGCAGACGGGCAGTGATTTTCTTTTTGGAGATCAGTGGCTTTCTCCTTGCAGCTCTGCCATGCACACCATGGTTGCTCAATGTTCTCCTGATGATGGGCTCATAAACATTAACATTAGCCAATGTGAGAAAGGCCTTTAGTTGCTAAGAAGTTACCCTGGGTTCCTCTGCAACCTTGCAGACTATTATAAGTCTTGCTTTTGGAGTGATCTTTGTCGGTTGACCGCTTTTGGGGAGGGTAACAGTGGTCTTGAATCTACTCCATTTCTACACAATCTGTCCGACTGTGGATTTGTGGATTCCAAAATCTTTAGAGATGGTTTTGTAACCTTTTTCACCTTCAAATTAACAGCTAATCCTAGAGATTCACATACTTTTGTACCACACAGAAATATAACACTGGGTCATTTTTCGCAATAAATGAATGACAAAGAAAATATTTTTGTCTCATTTGTTTGATTGGGTTCTCTTTGTCTACTTTCAGGACTTGTGCGAAAATCTGATTATGAATTGGGTCATATTTATGCAGAAATATAGAAAATTGTAAAGGGTTCACAAACTTTCAAGCAGCACTGTGTATACACACATTTTATGTGTGTGAAGCGATATAATGTGTGTATATATCAGTGTTGTTTTAGTATCACCAATATGCTGTCATGGTTTTTGTTAATATTTTGAATTAGATTTTATTTTAATATTTTATTCATTTAGTTTTAGTTATTTTAGTACTTCAACGAAAACGATAATCTAAAATATGTTTTTACAGTTTTTTTTTTATTTGACATTTTATTGTATTTCAGTTCATTTTAATTTAGGGCTGTCATCAATTAATCGTATCCAAAATAAAAGTTTGTGTTTACGTAATAAACTATGTATATTTATATGAATATATAAATACTCACATATATGTATATATTAAAGAAATATTTACA